GCTGTTCTCCATATTCGCCGATACTACCTTTGGTAATGCAAGGAATCTGTGGATTGTACAGCTTTAGCTCGGAAATGTACTATGAGCATCCCCTCTACGGATAATGCCTTTTAGGCGCTACAACGTAACCTGGATAAGTACATAAATGGGAAAGTTCACGTAGGAATATGTTATCGTTGGAACAGATGAGAGTTCACCAGGCAGTGCCCTTTTAATAAGCGAGAACGCCGCTTGTCTGCGAATGCTAACAAGGCAACACATGGAGCTGAGATTTTTGTTAAAACCAAGACAGTGAAGCGAGAGTGGATTTCGAACTAATCATCTTGAAATTGAGAATAACCCCAACCGAGGGGTTCTCACTGCCATGGCTGGAGCTTCTGACAGTTTTCAAAGCAGCTAGCCTCATAGTCATGTGACGAATGAACTACCTTCAAGCGGAGGGGCAATATGGATTTGGTACGGCTCAACACTGGCATTTTATTGATTGGGATCGGCGGGAAGCAAGTGAAAGCAGTTTCTCGCAAATAGGGCCCTAAGGGTTCAATGCATTTTTTTTTTCTGGACGCTGGCATTTCTTTTTAGATTAATAAAATCCAGTAGGCATGTTTACTCAATGCATAGCAAAGCAAAACATTGCCCAGAATTAACTCGGGTGTCATGAATCGGCACAGACAAGGCTAGGTGAATCTTCATGGCCTCAATACGTAACAAACTAAACGGAGGAGCATCACGCAGAAGAGAGAAAAAACAAAATTTTTTTTCACACCGTATAAAGCATAACGTTTGACTTATTTGGCTGGGCATGTTCAATTGTCTCGGCCGTCTCCAGAAGGTTCTTACGATAAACAGATAGAAACTTCGATTCTGCTTCAACTCGAGAAAGCCATGCCAAGGAACAAGGGATTCGTTGTCAAACAACAGAACCACAAGCTACCGAAAGCCTTTGGATTATCAAGGAATAACAGGAAGCTTTCAAAGCTCAGTTTATGAAACATTCCACATAATGGACCTTTGCCCAGTTCAAACATGAGCACCAGGTTATCAGGCTAGACGGATGGGTGCAAAACAGCGACTTGGGAATGGACGAGCGCCAGCCAATGAAGGGCTGTCCAAATAGGACACTTCAAACACGCGTGAAGGGCTGTCCAAACAGGACACTTCAAGCACGCGTGAAGCGACACTTCTTCGCCATATGAAGTGCGGCGATCCGCTCTTGTCCGCCTTTTTTGCAGGGGAGAACGCTTCCCTCAGCTACGTCAGCTTGTGCCCTTCACGGAGGCCTAGAGCATGCTCACCCCGTGAGTCCCGACATCCACTCGCATGTCCTGTTAGTTCTTTTTAGTGAATCGCTCAAGTCCTCCGCTGCTGTTCAAGTCCCGCAAACGGGAAACAGAAGGATACGAGGGCGCGGCAGAACAGACGGACAGGCAACAAGCACAGCATTTGCAGGTGGCGGTGGCGTCAAGTCTGGCGAGCACCGAGGTGACAGAAAAGCAGAGGAGGCGAGGAGGCAAGCAGCGATAATTGCCTGTGCATGTCCAAACAGAAGACGGACTGCTGAAGCACGGAAGAATGCGAATCAATAGAGTGAGAGAGAGACAGAGAGGGAGTCTTTAACAATGTTGCGAGACATGTCGTGTATCGATCGAGCTTTCCCAGGAGTCGAGGAGCTAATAAATTGATAAACGATTTGCAAGTGTTTCTCTCAGAAAGCGGAGAGGGAACTTTTGACTCCTCTACTTAAAAATCAAAGTTTACGACGAGACACTTTTTTTTTTTATCATCAGCATTGTTTTTGCTGGTCCTTTGTTCCATCGCTTTCTTGAGAAAACAGCGAAAACGCAAATAACGATATCTACTTGCGCAGAGACTAGTGTAGTTTATTCAGTTTTGCTGGCAGTTTTACAACGACGGATGTTTCGACAGCGTTCCGGTGAGCTACGGCTCGAAGAGGTTTCTGCCAAACCATAAACCTAAATAGCGGACGCACGTCTAAGCGTGCTTCAAAATCTGAAGTAAAACTTCGAAGCAGACCTGCCAGCAAGGGTAACTTTTGAAAAAAAACGGAAAACGTTTTTTTTTTTTTTTTCTTTTTTTTTTTTTTAAAGAGGACTTTCCGAAGTACCGCGAACTGCTGATCGTACTCACTGATGTGGAAGCGGTAGTCAACTTAAGACCACTAACGGAAGGGACCTCCTCCATCGATGAACAGGTCTTCTGAACTTTTTTATTTACAAAAGGCTCTGTGCCGCCAGCAACGATTGAGCGTGAATGATCTATACGCCAGAAATGATCAAGAATCAAAGTGGCAATGCAGGCGAGTTGGTTCATCGTTACAAAATGGAATCAGCGCGCAAACAACGAAGACACAAGGAAGAGAAATTGACAGGACAAGCGCTGGACTTCAACTGAACGTTTATTGAAAAAGAAACTAACGAGGAAAAACAAACAAACCACCAAATCATCACCCCGTCAAAACGTGCTCAAAAAAGCTACCTCTCTCTTAAGTAAAAAAATCGATGTTTGGCTGACGCATTGGTCACCTTCCTTTCCTATCTCAAATGCTTCGAGCAGCTCGCGTGCTGTCTTATCGGCCCCTCTTCCCAAAATCGAGATGCGATCAAATATCGGCTCGCACGAGCAAGTGCTGCAGTGTAAAGGCAAGTGACCGCCCGAGGTTGATCGCAGCGAAAGCGCGTGTTCACGTGCACGGCCATTAACACATCGGCCAGTCTGGCCGATGTATACTCGACCACAGCTTAACGGGATCCTATAAACTACCCCCATCGCGCACTCGACGTACTTGTTTCTGTGCTTTACGGAACATCTATTCCTTCCCGTTCCCCTGTCCGCCACTCTGGGGCATAGCTGCAGCATCTTGCAGGGCGCCGAAAAGACAACCGGTACATCATAGCGCCCCGCAATCTTTTTTAGATTGTGGGATACCTTGTGTAAATATGGGATTACTTGCGGTCTCCTATTTGGCCGGTCTCTTGGTTGTTGGGGTCCCGTCTTTACCTTTCTTAGTAGCTTTTCTGCTACCGCCAACAGAACTGTCGTTTTTTTCAATAAACGTTCAGTTGAAGTCCAGCGCTTGTCCTGTCAATTTCTCTTCCTTGTGTCTTCGTTGTTTGCGCGCTGATTCCATTTTGTAAAATGATCAAGACTGTGGCAAATATTTAATGCTGCTGCACAAATTCTTACCAGGTGGGCGATCGAGTATCGAAACTCTACTAAACTCTTCCTGGATCTGACATCTATCAACGGGGATTTTGCCGATAAAAACAACATTTGCGTGTGTTCTATGAAGCATAACTAAGTCTGCCTCCCAGCTGTCGATGAGAAATTTATATCCACAGCAGAACAACCGCTAGCCTGAGGTCTTTAACGTGCATCATGGAGTAGTGATACATGACTGCACGCTGGTACGATGCTCACCAAGATCGAAACGAGCAAATGTGGGGTAGAACCCAGGATTCCTGGGTTCTGCAGCGCGAGCTTTCGCTTCATGTGGTCCGAGCTGTTGTGCGCTAGCCCACTGGGCCACGGTTCACCCTAGGCTTTTGCCGGTAGAGATAGTAGAGTATGCACTGCACTATTCGATTTACTATTCGACTTGAAATGGAAGTGAGGGAAGATGAGGGTGCCTGCGTCAACACAGGTCTGACTTTGTTGGGTAGGGTATTGGAAAACGGCTAAACGAGAAGACAACTTTTCACATCTCCAATCACGCACTTCTGGGTATTCACTCGACAGCTTCTACCAGACGACTGAAGAGTTTGATATATCACGTCAGATTATCGCGAGGCCCTCACTAGGCAGATTTAAATTTTGAATGCTTGACGCCGTTTGCTTGGTTGGAGGGGCGAATAGAGCAACAAAAAGACCACTCGGAGAAAACCTCCCGCTCTCAAGGTTTTAATGCTTGCTTACCACTTTTCATGTTAAGAAGAAAAAAAAAAGGAAGTATTGTTCTGCTAGTTTATGCACAGCACGAGCTAGCTCTGATAAGACTTGTTTGTCAGCAAAATAAATAATAGTTTTTTGTTTTGCTTTTGAAACGTGTACGTGTTAATGAAGTTACCAATACCAGGCTTTAAATGTGCGTACAAGTGTATTAATTCACCAAACTCGTCCCCCCCCCCCCCCCCAAAAAAAAAAAAAAAAAAAAAAAAAAAGTTGTTATGTTTTTATAGGAGCTGAAATTGCTTTTTCGCTGCGGTCACAAGAGCCGAGCAAGTCGCCGCCCGGCCCAGTCCGCCCGGCCACTCTGCAGGGGAGGCACCACGCCGGCCCTAGAAGGAACCAAACGTTCTGGATCTTATTAGGCTTTTATAAAGTTTATTCTTCCTTTCTCTCTCTCTTCAGATTATGATATGAGGAGAAAAGTAGACTCCTCTCAAAAGTCTACCTCTCTTGGATATTCTAGGAATTCTGCCCAGGGGTGGACAGAAAGGACACCGTCATGATGGTAACCCAAGAAACGCTACACATACCGCTCTACCGTCGTCTCACATATTTTTAAACTCGCATGTTCCGCGGTATCGGTCCTTCGGCCATTGTGCAGCGTGTTCAAACATCCTAACACTCGGCGCGTTATTTTTGAAGGGGGAAATCCATGATCTCTTCCCCAAAGCAAATGAATGTAACTAGCCCCAGAGAAGATTACCTAGCCTTTTTGCACGCTTTTTTCCAACTCACTCGGCGTGATATCAGCGCCACTGCCTGTTTGTGTACTCAACAAGGATGGTTTGTTCGAGCCATTAGCATTTTTCTTCTTCTTTATAGCTAGTTTTTCTTCTTGGCGCACGCAAATAACAAAACAACATAAATGAAAAAAAAAAGAAAAAGCTTTCGCTGCATTTTGATTGTGTGTTCGGAGGGAAAGAAATGAACGCAGCACCTGCTGTCCCCCCACAAAGTTGACATCGCTGATTGTTGCTCACGGAACGATATGGAATCTTTCTGTGGTCGTCTGTCTTCCCGGATGAAAGCCCGGTGTTTCTCCAGACGCGATGCGGCCTTCTATCAGCTCACAGGAAACGGACGCGCGCTTTCTTCTTGTGCGTCACTCTGCTCCGTGTCATACTTGAGGGGCCGCCCTTCCCGCATTGTCCAGAAACGAGCTGCCTCGGCTTCTTACGAAGGTGAGCCAACGGATTTGCCAACTTTGCTACGTAAGCTTGTTTCTTATGTAAGCTAAATGTAATTATTTATGTATTTGATCCATTCACCCAGATATAAAAAGAAATGAAATTGTATTACAAACACTGTCGAAGCTGGTGTAGAGTAAGTAGCTTGTGAATGTGCCATTCCTGAGAATGAATTCATGGACTCACGTATTTATTCTCCTGAATAGCGTTGTAGTAAGTTTTCATTGAGAAAGTCATCCATGCGTAGGTACTGGGCACACTCATCTTTAATAATTAACTTAGATGAACGCAATTTTGAAGCTAAACAGAAACAACTATCTGAAGCGGGGTGACACTCTTAGATATACACTTTTATGTATGAGTACTTGAAGTAAAGTTAATACAGAAGTACGAAAATAATATGCATTTTTATACGCATGGATAAAGCAATTTGTTTTTCGACTTTCGAAGCTTTGGAATGTGGACGTCTCATGCGTTTTTGTACGTTTTGAATGTTGATCATTAAATTTTTTAACGCCATTACGACGAGAAAATGCCCCGTGACTACGCAAATGAACTTAATTTGATTTTCATATATAGAAAGGTAGAAGTAAGTGTCCTGGTTTGACTTGATCTGTCAGGTAAACCCTACGTATTTGTTAGTGTTAGATGCAGTGTTCGACACGGCTAGCGCGAACACGACATCTGCGCTCTCTCAAATTTTGTTTTGGCAGTGTATGGACAATCATCGATTTCTGCAGCCTGGGTTAGTGACCCGAATGAGCACTTTCCGCTACACCAGTAGTTGTAATGATAGCCTTTCAATATAAGAAAAAAAAAGTGGCGGTTTAGGTATTTTCTTTTACTTTGATACCTTAAAACCCCCATCAGAGAGTATTACATAAGGGGTGGGGCTACAGAAGAACCGAACACGTTTTAGAAGTCTACTGGTAATAACTGTGACGCGTTCTGTACGTGACAAAATCCTAAGTAAAATTCAAAGTACCACGTAGATATTGTCGTTCACGTCAACTTAAAGAACATTTGTCGCAAAACGTATGCTTCAAGCAAACCACACCAGCCACATAATCTTAAAAGCAAAGGCGAAGTACTTCTTGAATGCAACGTTTTACTGATCTCGTCAAACATTTTTAATGACATAAACATCAGTGCAACTAAGCGTGACTGCATGAAAATAAATCACTACAACAAAGATTAGGATTCAGGTTGTGAGGAAAAGGTTCATGCTCATCTGAGCGATTTCGACAATATCTTCAAAGGGATATGTGAACAGTACATTCGAGTCAACTCGTGTACATTTTATTTTTTTAAATACCAGCAAAATGTATTTTAAGTAACGTACAAGTACAATGAGCCCCAAACGAGATGCTGCCACAGGACAACAGCGATGCGGAGCGATTGCCGGCTACTTGGCTATCCGTCTTGCCGCAGAGACAGACCAGTGGCGTCCAAGCATCTGCAAAGTGGGCGATCGTGTGAGAGCGTAACGTTTTGAGGACATTGTACCGGGTGTCAGGGCGAAATAAGAACCGTGCTTTTTGCATTGCAAAAATAAACTATGCGTCACCGAACGCTCAATCTCTACTCGAGTCTAGTGTACATATAAGTTAGGACAAAATGCCCAAGTTTCTAAACCTACCGTCATTTGAATCAAAAAGCTAAAATGCAATTTTCGTATATGTTTAATGAAAAAATGGCGATCAATGAAGCCTGGGAAAGCATGCAGATCAATAGCATTTGCCCCGAACGGGTTCTATTTCCACAGCTATAGCTGTTTTGGGCTCTTCTCACCTCTGGAAATAGCGTCCGTTGTTGGGGCTGTAGTTGACGATGCAGGGTGTCAGTGTTACAAAATCCTCAAAAATATCGCCCGCCGCACGCGGGAATAGAACGTGGGTTGCTATTAACCCGCTCTAACCTTAGGTAGGGTGCCTCAAGGTCCTTTTGTTTAGGGTGATGCCACCCTTTGTAGTACCCAATGCCGACAGCACGCGCTCACGGGGAAAATACAAAGAAATCGACGAAAACAAAATGTCGCCATAGCTCAGTCAACGCCACAAACGCGTGCAGGGCCACGCTCTCTCACGCGCTTCTGAACAAAAAATAAAAATAAACGTGTGGGACAAAATGGCGAGATGCCACCACCCTACGCAAAGCGCACATGAAGGCACCCTAACCTTAGGATGTTTGTAGTACCCAAGGCCCACTGCTCGCGCTCTTTGGAAAAAATAAAGAAGAAAATAATAGCCTATAACAAAATGCCATCGCAGCACTGTCCATGCCCAGACCTCGTTCTGAAAAAAAACAAAAAAAAAACAAAAAAAAACACGCTTTTACGCGCTTTGAGGAAAAAGAAAAGAAACAAAAGCGCTTGTTCCGAACGCTATTGTTCACGCACCCCCACAGTGTGCGAACGCGACGCCGACGCCCAACGACTTCGCCGCGACGTGGCACAGCTATCGCTGTCACTGTATTCTGGATTAAAAACAAGACTGCTCAATTTTTCATTTAAAATGACAAAAACAAAATCACTTCTAACTTTTTAATTATATATTGCTAAGTTCTAAAACTTTCGGAATGTGGTCCCAACCGCTAGTGCTGCAGGCCAGGAAAGGGTAACACACATGCACGTAAACTCTTGGAGAATTCGCTTGTTTGTGTGCTGCTTTTTCTTTGCCTCCAGTTTCGAGATGTTGGTTACTATGTTCATTTGTCTTTCTGTTCGCCGATTACTGTGTCATGTATAGCTTAAATTGACGACTTTGCGATCTCACTTTTTCAGTCAAATATTAACTGCTTTCTTGAGTATTGTAACGTGTAGTGGTAGCGTGTAGTAAAACCAAAACCAGATAAGAAGTATTAAAATATATTCGTAACTTACTACAAAGCCTTGTAGTAAGCTCGATAAAGAGGCATATGTATATTCAACCCCGGTCTTGACTCGCGCATCTCAGAATTCGAAGCTATTCAGAATCTTGCTTTATACTTCCGAATTATCAACGCGAGGCCAGTGTAACAGCAGTGAAAACCAGCTCATCATTACAAAACATTTCCCACCGAAGAAAAGCGTTCCGCTCGTGCTTGTTCACACAATATACATATAGTTAACATTAATATTTCGGGAAAAGAATACTAACATTACCCCAGTACTTCTCAGCACACATTGATCATGGCCAGAAAGTTGGTGTTTCATCCTGTAATATTAATGAAGATTAAAATTATTTACCCCTTTGAACTGGAATCACCTTCTAGCACCTGCGCGTAAAATTGTTGACAATAGCATTTTTTAAAAAAGTCGCGGTTAACCTTTGCTATGCGCCCGTATTATTGTTCTAGGTTTATTGTTGCGAGGCATATATTTATGTAACCCACTCCAGTATATAACGCCCCTGACCCAAGGGTAAATAAATGAATAAACGAGTACTATTTTTAGCAGCCAGCCCTGTAAGGGCTGGTATTTTGACGACGAGGTTCTTCGCCGCGGCTTATAATCGATTTTGTCCCAGCTTGAGCACGTTGCTTCTAACAATGTTCCGATTTTCCTCGATCTCTGCTTTTGGGAACGTCTACCCTTTGCGCTCCTTTTGTGTGATTCGCGCTTCTTGTTGAGTGACTCGCTCGCAACATTACGATTTGTTGTCATTGGACAGTGTCTTAGTTGGGCAGTCTTGATCACAGTTATGCCCATGGATATACACTGATCATTTCCAAATATTTCGGCTTTTTGCTACCTGTTCTTAGGCTACCATATATAAACGCACCGCAGTAGTTGCCGTTAACCCCCGACTTTCGCCACTCAGGATCAGTTCCGATGTTCTGACGTATCTTAGCATTCTCAACGACTGTAGATTGGACACCGTTGTGTGGTTACACTCCGTTTCACTTGAAGTCCGACATCAGCCGAAGGCACGACCCGGTGGAGCCAATCAAACAGATCTAAAAGTGCTTCGTCACGGAGCTCGTTGTGTTTCTGCACTTAAAGTGAAACTGAGTACACTGAAGCACCGTGCAACCTGCACTCGCAGAAACAAAGGGTGTATTCTTCACACCCTCTGTCCCATATAACACACCCCAAAACTTCAGTTCGACGAAGAGCGCACTGACGCCAATCTGACGGTACTAACGATCACAAGAGGCTTGATAGCCGTGTGGTAGAACTTATTGATATAGCTAATGTACGTGTTACTCACTATAAAAAAAAAAAATAATCGGGGTTTTCTTGGCCCTACCGCAAAACCTCAGGGTTCTCCTTCTGTGGTCTTTGATACGTACTTTAGCTATTTAAGAAGTTATATCGCAGCGTTATCAAGCCCCTCGTAAAATTTGGGGCCGTCTGTTCGACTAGTGCCGTCGAACTGAAGTTTTGGGGTGCATTATACGGGACAAAAGGGTGCAAGGTGGCACCCTTTTTTCTTAGAGTGTATCATCATCAGTTATCCTGATCTCATTGTTCTTGCTTTCATTAGTTTTAGGATGGGGTGCTTCAAGACCAAAAGCCCGGAGCAGAAGGTCAACGATAAACTGAACGGAGTCATTCAACAGTGGAAGAAAAGAGAAGGAGGCCTCATCAAAATTCTTCTTCTCGGTAATGTGGGCACGTGTGCGCCTTAGAACTCATCTCGTTATTTTTTCTGTTTGTTTTTGTTTGAAGAACGCTCGAAGGAGCTGCTTGTTTTCTTTAGTGTACACGTATAGACCAACTCAACTCACTGACGTCACGACACTGCGGTGGCGCTGCTGTCGGTACTGCGCTTGCACGGGCGCTTCACTCCTCCCGAGTTTCGTTTCTGCGCACGCGTGGTGCCCAGAAGTGGTGTGGGCAAAGTGGACTTGTTTTGTAAACAATTTGTGGGTGCATTGTCACCCACACATTGTATTCGCAACTTTCATGACCTATAGCGGTTCGCCCTAGTTCCTATCGAAATGGCTGCCATCCGGAGGATCGTCATAGTGCAGCGGTACAAGGTTCGGTCCGCGACGTGTAAGTAATTCTAATTTCGTAAGCAAGAACCCTTTGTTCTGATGCCGACCATCCAGGAGTTAGAGAGTGCGATTCTCACACCGCGGTACCACCGTCGCTGAAAGTTGCGAATAGAATGAAACGTTTGCCCGCTTGCCCTTAATCGCTCGTAAATATACCAATGAATGTTTTGGAATTAGGCATAGTTGCTTCCGTAATGTTATTTTTTCTCGATGTGATTAATACATTTGCGTCGGGTTATAAACTTGCTTAGCAGCAAGACCACAACAATGGCCGCTGGTGTGACGTCAGTGCAAACCGTATATTGGATGCCTCGGTTTGTCTTCAAATATCTAGTCGTCACACCAAAGTATCATGGTGGTCATCTTTCAAAGTCGGGATTTCGTTTGCCTGTAGTGTTAACGTTCTTCCCAATGCTTGAACAGGCGGACAATGCAATCGCTGCACGGTCCCGACACGCGCACACTCAACGCAGTCTGTTCAAACAGGTTGCTCGGCTGAACTCCTGAAACCACTCTCTCTGCATCCGGTTCGCAGAAAACCATTTCCGCAGTCGGGAGATTCTCGCCAGGCCATATACAACACCCGCCGCTTATCTCTGCACGAGAGCGGTATCGCGATCTTAGCGGTCTCGGAGATAGCCGCGGAGTTTTCGTGCGATTGCATGTCGTGTGCTCCCTGCAGTCGTCCCGTTCACCACCACCGATTAGGACCGAGTGTCGTCCAGTGGCGGGAGGAGTTTTGTTTACGCTCTCGCCCGATGGGTGCTCTTGCGATTTCGAGCCAGCGTTCTCCACCCAACGTTTCTCCCACCGACCACTCCAAGACAGGCGTCCCGTCGAAGCAACCGATTCCCAAGGCGCTGAGGGACTCGGTCCAGAGGTCCATCGCAGCCTCCAGTTCCGTTTTGGGCGACTGGGACATGCTGTCAGAATTCGCGGGTGATCCCAAGGAATACCAGCGACTTCGATGGAGTCGTAACAGCCTTCTGACCAGGGCGAAGCTGGCGTCGGCGGTCGGAAAGGCTCAGTTGCACTGCACGCGCTGCGAACATCAGTGGCACGACAGCTCCGTCGAGGTATTTTTTGACCTGGGCAGACTTGGAGCTCCTCGGGTGGTGCGAAAACAGTGCTTCAACTGCGGTCACCTCGTGGTGCCGTCCTTCTCGTGCATCGAGTGGGATCGACTCGCCAGCGAGGCCCTCGGCAAGTGGTCCAAGAAGGCACTCGAGGCGCATCGTCGGCAGCGCGACGGTCTGCCGGGGTCTCAGCACACGTCGGTTACTGTGTCTGACCCGATAACGAAAAACACGGTGCTTTATAGCGTGGACGTCGTGAACAACAACGCTCTTTGACGTGGCTCCTTACGCAGTCCCGACGGTCTTCAAATCTGCTGTTTTCTTAATGTGTTTTTTGGCTACTTAGTTTTCTTAGACCTACGGACCTCTTGTAGACACGAATTCAACCGGAATGAACGTCGTATTTAAACTGCCTGTTCCTGTATAGCGTCTCGTTTTTTTGTGTTTTTTTTTATATAAACAAATAATGCAGTGCAACAACTTTTTTTTTTTTTGCTTTTTTGAAATCTACGTTTCTCTAAAATTTTGGAATAACCGGCGTCTACCACTAACTTTTTTTGAAAGTATTGCCTGGACTAGCTTCGGCTGTTATTGTGTAACTTACTACATATTTATATTACTCGCGCACTAGTTTAATTTGAGTTTATTTTCATAAAGGTAATCGATTGCTTCTATAATTTTCTAGCTCTGTACATTCCGCTACTGTAACGTATGCGTACGGGATAACTCCGTTCGTTTGTTGTAGACGCCCCTCAGCAACTTTCAATGGCTCTTAGACTTGATTCGTGACATACTCACTTCTATATAAATAATTATCAGGCAATTCACTCATTCATTAATTCATCATGTTATTTTCTGATGAAGAGCCGAAGCCTTAGTAATGATGCACAGCAGATGGATAAATTAGTGGTAAAGAACGACTTAAACACAGAAAAAAATGGGTCAGAAATATGAAACCCTGCTAGACCAATGTAATTATACAACTGTTCAATGCGAGACATGGGGTTAGTTAAGTACATGTGGTACTTTAGCTTGAATATCCCATAGGTACCAGGTATTTGTTTTTCATTATGTAGATGTACCATGTGTGAATACGATAAATTAAACTCAACTCAGCGTCCAATGTTCGAGTACTTGACACATAAAAGATATACTGTTTTATGTTTTGTTTCTGGAATTGATACATTTTATGTATCTTCACTTTTGCTACTTTAAACCCTATCAAATCCTGTAAAGAAACCGATAATCAAAATACACTGTGCCATGGTTTCCATTTCGTTCTCACTGTACCTATTTAGAAAGTGATAACTTATTTGGATGTCACCAAAGTGTAAATAAATGTGTTTTCTTTTTTTATCACGCGCATCAACGAACAGTAGACTCCTTTTTCGCAGTTCTAACCGCGCTGGTATCGCATTGCCTGTTTTAACGAAGATATTTTATCAGAGTTGCCTTTGTTCTTTACTTTGCAAGCGTTGGCGTTATCTCGCGCTTAGAACGTGACCTTCTGGAAGCCATCAGCGCGGACAGTCGTAGAAACAATATTCATAAGTGTTTGTTTTTTCTTGGCGAAATACGAACCTTCTTGATTAATCACGTTGGTTTTTATTTTTTTGGTGATCAGAGCAGCTTACACAAATACCTTCTCTTATTTTTTTTCTTCAGAAATATGCGTGTAAAGGTGGATGACAGTTTTTATTTTTGCCAAATATTTTCAGGCTGAATTATAGTAGTGTCGAAAACTTAAGCCGTTTGAATTGCACGAAGAAGTTTACGAAGGGGATTTCAACCTTCACTTACGTGTTATCGCGAGCAGCGGGAACGTAAAGAACCCGCCATGTTTACTTGACTCATCTGTCACTTTTTGAAGACGCCTTGGTTCAATCTAAGTTTGGAACTCGAAGTTCAGGTTCCGGTTTTTTACTTTTTTCTCAAATCGAGAGATAAAAAGGATTGTAAAGACCGCAGTAAGAGCTAAAAGACAGATCGAGTGTTGCAGCTTACATAATGTGTGTATACTATTTCATTTATATCTTGAGTTTTAGAATTCTGCACCAAGAGTTACATTTTTCGTTGTCCAGACGTTTTTCTTTAAACGCTCAATTTACAGGAGCCGGAGAGTCTGGCAAAACCACCATTTTGAAACAAATGACTATTCTCCACAGAAACGGCTTCACCTCGGAGTAAGTGCCAATGTTTCTTTTCTTCACTGGTGTCGAATGCATGTCCTATTTCTATAGACTTCTTAGTTTAAACACCACATTATATTTTTGTTGTCTTTGGTTTGGGGCGCGAAGATAAATTTAGAATTTATAATTGAGTGAACTCAGCCTTCTTAATTTTCCGGCCAATTATTTCCGTGTTGAGCTAGCAGTGCATGTGTACCCACCTTCCACTTCTTATATATGATGATACAAAAATATTTACTTTATAAACTCTGCAATAAAAACTATTTCTACTGGCTTTGACGATTTTCTTTTTTTTTTAATCCGAGTCGGAGTGACAGAGTTTTAATTGAACAGCCATTTTAAATATATATATAAAAGGGCGTAAAAGGGTCAAGTCTTAAACGTACTGTCGAGGTTTTGACTCCAGTTTCTACGATAATAATATTTATTTATTTATTTAGAGAACGGACCGAAAAAGCGCACGAAATTCGCTGGAACCTCCTGGAAGCGATGAAGGTAACAGGGTGGCCTGTGTTTTCCTCTAACGCGTCAGCGGCACAGCGAGCGACGATAAATCACTCAGGAGTCTGTTTTTCTGTTGGATTCCAGGAACTCACCATGCACATGGCAACTCTCAATCCTCCCGTCGAGTTGGAAGATTCAGCGAATGAGGAAAGCTTCAAGTTCGTGCAAAGCCTGTACCTCTTAGCTGATTATGAGTTCCCTCAAGTGAGTGCATTAAGTCTATTATTAATACGAAAGCATTAACTGTCTCATGGAGCGAGCCGACGTCCTCAGCTTTGAAACCATGCGAAATGGCACCTTAATGAAATTACGCGCAAAGCTAGACAACGACACCTTTTACACTTCGTTCCCATTGTCTGGCGCGCGTCGACGAGGCTCCCATTGGCCGCTGCGCATCAGTTTGTGCGGTGCCATCCTGACTGTGTTATCACACTGTTTTGTTATCACTGATCACCGCGTTCGCTCGCCTCTTATCGGTTGTACGGCGCGTAGCAATATATACGGCGCATGAAATGAACCAAGGGATTCGTTCTGCTGGGAACTACGTTGCTGTCTGTTCCTTCCTCGCGCCGCAAGGCTCACGGCAGTTTGAACGATCGCTCACCCGATGGCGCTGCGTGTCCGCGAGGCAGCGGCTGCACCGTTCCACGCTCAAGGTCAGCGCGTTGTACAGCGCAGGTTAAAGAAGGGAGCGAAGAGCGGCGTGCGTGCATTTACAACTCATAACAAGCGCTTAGGTGAACCTCGAGCCTTTTAAATCTATCGGATTGCAATCGCACTGCCGTATTTGTACAGTTTCTAATTCTAGCGTACCCGTATATGTTTCTACAGCTCTGACGTGCGGCGTGGTGCTGACGCTAATAATAAAAGCACATTATCGTGGAAGTGGCCGTGAGGTCCTTCCGGTTACACGACTGGGAGACTTGTCCTGCGATTCGCCTTTTAAAACAATACAAACTTGTAAATAAAGAAAGCATGGTTACATTTGTGAAAATGTGACGTCTACACGAGTGGTAAAAAGCTTGCTAAATAAGATGGGAATGTGATTTAGTAACAATGTTTCTTATACACCGAGCTACTTGTACTGGTTTAGGAACACATTGTTGTGCGAACCTCCAGTGTGAGCGTGAAGTTTGAAAATACTCGATCGTACTTAAATCTGAGGCGTACGAGCGAAGCAGTCGTTTCCAATCGTTCTTGAATGCAGAACGCATGCATTAAATGTGAAATTGGCAAGTACACATAAAAACATAAACACAGACTTAACGTGTTGCTTTTGGCTCGCCAGCAGCGATATTGTATCAGCGGCTGTGAAGGTGTCATGATTCCACTAAGTAACACGAAAAAAAGTTTGGCTCTTTAGATTTCTTCAGCAATTTCAGTCAAGTCTACTGTTGACAACCTACTGCGAAATTGGCGCGTTAAGTGTTTTAGTAATTTAACTAACTTAAACATTTACTACAAACTGGTTTGTGTATTCTCTCGCATTTCAGTGTTTCTATTTTCACATCAAGAGGTTGTGGAGTGATGCCGGTGTTCAGGAGTGCTACAGGAGATCAAATGAGTTCTTTCTAATCGAATCCTCGAAGTAGTGAGTTTTTTTTTTGTTTTTTCTACCAATATGCTGTATAGAGTTAATTGAAGTGGATACTTAGCTTGACTATAGTTTTTTTATTAATATTTCAAAGCTAAAATAGGCTCGCTCAGTCCAGTTTCTTCTTAATTCTTTATTTTGACATGGTAGTCATACATGGCGCCTCTAAAATGTGTCGCACTGGCTATCAGGTACGAATTTAAAAACCACATTTCAATCGATTTCTACATCACACTTGCATCTAAGCGCTAATTACTACCATCTAGATCGTGATGTCTTTAACACACAAACAGATGAACTTTTACCTTAAAAAAAGAAGAAAAACAAACACAAATACTGAAACCTTGATTATCCTACTAAACCACGACATTGGCTATTAAGTGATTACGTTACACTGGAACGAGACTGTTTTCTCTTACTTTATTTGTTCTTTTTGGGGTAACTGTGGATTCGAAATTCGAATTACAAAAAGTATTTATGCTAACTTGTGAGACGCAACTTGAATCAATTACAGTGGTCGAAATAATGTCATTCGAGGAGATAACGATGCGTACTCTGGTTTAACGTAATCACGAAAATTTGCGTCGCTGATTTGAATCCTTATTTGTGTCTCAGCTTCCTCGACCAGATCGACGTAATCTCGGATGAAAGCTACATCCCAACAGAGCAGGTTCGGAAACTAATGAAGCCTTTCTAACTTTCATTGGAGAACCATGCCGGACGCTGTTTCAAGTTCTTACTCTTGCAGGACATTCTTCGCTGTCGAAGGCGCACGACGAACGTGAAGAAAGTGGAATTCGAAGCAACCATTCCTAAGAAATACGGGCATGGGATACAAGAATTCTGGTTAGTAAGGAAAAAAAAAATCGAAAAGACAACACATACAATTTTAATGCGTTAGCGTTAGAACGCTCGCTTTAAGGAAAACCCGGCGGCGTCTTTCGTTTGTCAGCGCCGGGAAGAGAGGGAAGGGAGGGGAGAAGGTGACGCGTGTGACGCTCCCATTGGTCCGGAGCGCTGACGTCAGCATGTGTCAACATCTCCCTCTCTCCCGGATGCTGACAAACTTACAGACACCGTCGGGTTTTCGTCAAAACGAGCTCTTTAGTTTTCGTCAAAGTAAGGCTCACCGCTGGCGCGGAGCCAGAGAGGAGGACGCGCCGCGGCGCGTTGGAATGCGGGTGGGCTGAATTGCCGCTCTGGCGTCGCCGGTTGTTCTTCGCTCTGGGTTTCCGTAGTAGCAGTCCGTGGGCTGTGATGTGTGTGTAGCTGAAACGATGAATGAGGTTTCCTCCACGAGTGATATGGAAGCGGCTCCTTCCACGAGTTGCATGGATGTGGTTTTTCCACGAGTGATATGGATCATTATATCTATGGGCGGCGACGCACTCTTGCAGGCAGAGTACAGAAAAGGGGTGAAAAAATTACAGGAAGATCCGTTGGTGGATTCGGAGGGAATGCGTTAGCATGACCCTTGGGAAACGCCACACACGTCACCCTTTGGAAAACGCTAACTCATACGTAACGAGGCCAAAAATAAGCATAAAAAACAGAAAAAGCAAAAGAGAAAGCCAAAACAAAAAAGTAAAGGTGTCAGCGTTAGCAATTCCCAAAGTGGGACGTGTGTGGAGCTTCCCAGGGGTCATGTTAACGTATTCTCTGAAGATCCACCAAAGGACCTTCCTCTTTATTTTTTCTGTATTTTACTTTGGACCTCCTAGTATATGATTAATTTTTCTTTAGCCGTATTCACCAGCTTCGATTATACAAGCGCAGTTTTGAAGTTAGTAACGCACCTAAGTTTCTTAAGTTGTTGGTGACACCCACTGATCTCTATGTATATTTGCTGGATCGCGTTTGACCACCTTCGCCTATGGACGGGAATGCGCCCACGGTCGGCCATCTTTTTGGTAGAGTTTTTTTTATCTCTAGCTGTCATAGTAATATGGTGGGCAGCGCTATGGCGGCAGGCTGCCATTAAAATAGCAGTGGGTCTAGTACACTGTACCGTGGGTGATATTTCGTGCTTGATTGAAGTTGTTCGACGAAGCAGATTCTTGAAACCCGGCGTGAACGGTAGCCCGATCTTTGAGGACCCGGCGAGAGCTCTACGAAAGTGCAGCACCGGGAGAAAGCAGCGCAGCTCACATCGAAAGCAGACTCTACACCGGCGTCTGCTTTCGATGTTTTTTTCGATGCGACTTTCGATGCGTGCTCTGCTGCTTTTCCGCGGTGCTGCGGTTTCGTAGAACTTTCACCGGGTCCTCCAAGATCGGGCTACCGTTCACGCTGGGTTACAAAAATGTTTCGTCGAACAATTTCAATCAAGCACGAAATATCACCCACGCTATTTTGATGGCAGCCTGCCACCACAAATCCCACAACGATGTCTGCCATGAATGGATGATAGTGGCTGCAGCAGCTGTACATTGACTAGAGGCAAGGATGGGCAAAATACATGCAAATATGTATCGAAATACAAATACAAACTACTTCGTCAAAAATATATTTAATTACAAATCTAATTACATTTCCAAAAACGCATTTAAGTACAAGATACAAATACAAGCAAATGTATTTGGTCTCCTCAAAATACTTTTCCAAATACATTCCTCAAAATTTGCGTCAGCGGCTTCAGGGCACCTGCAACGGGTTTCTGGGTGTCTCATTTTAATTTTGCATCGAACACTCGGGAGTTAGTGTGCGAGGCTTTAGTAACGTAATAGAAATATAATCACAAAAAATGTAATCCGCTTGGACGTAATAGGTGAAAAAATTAGAGAGCTTCAAGCAGCGTTTTTTGTCGATTGCATTTTGGTATAGACCAACAAAGGACCGAGACAGACAAGACGCGCAGCAGTAGCTAGATAATTTTCTAGTGTTGAAACTCGCACCAGTTATGAAAATCTGGACGACCCGCGCGTTTAGAATGTTCCAGGCAAAAATATGGACGGAAATCAGGCTGGAAAGCATCACAAGTTGTCACAGGCACTTGTTTAGCCAGTCTGCCTGTGAACGTCGATTTCGTCACTATTCTTGCCCTGGACTAGCACCGTAATCACAGTCACTAAACGCTTGTGCTTGATTGAGAGACACTGCATTCGGTGCAGAACGTAGTTTTGTTCCTGCTCTGGACAGTGACAATAAATTTGAGGGATGTATTTTTGCCCACAAAATTGTATTTAATTACAATTGTATTTGAAATACCAACGTTTCAGTATTTAAATACACACGTCAACTACATTACCCAATTTGTAATTCAATACAAATGCAAAATACACGAAGTATTTGAAATACGGATTTTAAATACTTGAATTTGAAATACTGTCCATCCCTGACTAGAGGTAATATAACTCTACCAAAAAGATGGCCGCCAGTTGCCGCATTCGCGGAGCGGGCAAACGCGATCCACCGATTGTCATCGAGATCAGTGGTGACACCTAAATGCGGCCGGTAAATTCACCTGTTACGTGATCACTTAAGTGAAGTACTTGATGCGTCAGCGGTTAAGCATGCACTAGACATGCCTTGTGACTACTGGTGATTATCTCTTGCAAAATGAACGGGACGGAACCGAAATCCCATTGTTTTTCTCATGGAAGGACGGATCGTTATCGGGACGCTTTTGTGCAAGATTTCAGCTTTTTTTCCCCTGGAAGCAGCACTTTTAACGTCGATAAGCTTTCTGCGCACAGACTTCTGATAGAAAAAAATCGTCCGACAGGCAGTACGGCGCGGGACTGGTTTATAGTCAGCTTGTTAGGAATCACAAAAATCTTGTTGGAAATCAGACGAAATCTCAAACGCAGCTGCGTTTAAGATGTTGTGTCGTCTTGTTCGTTATTTTATTTCTCCGTGCCTCACGGTTTAGATTGTAATGTTTCCAAACCCGCTCGCCTGCATGCTTTCGCTTGAAGAAAAACATATCGCGCTCGGAACAAATAATTATGTATTTACCTGCGATTAAATACTGATTATTATTGAAATCAAGACTTATTTGCATTTATAAACTTGGAAGGCATCGTAGAAAACGCCAAGTGAATTGCTATCGCAAAACTTAAAGCATAGGGACTTTGTTTGCTGCTTCCTGAAACAAGCTGAATTCGGAAAGTGGCTTCAAGGGGCTGTAGATACTGTATTCGTTTTGTTTCTTGTTTTTACGGGTTGCCGCATTACTTGAAACAGGTCTTGAGCCGTAACTTGACAAGCAGAAAAGAATAACACTGAGGCCCTAAACTCGTCAGACACAAAGTTGGTGCAGAAAGTTCACGGAGGGCGCCGATTGGACGTCGGCGATAAAAGCGCGAAGTTAACGTCGAGATAGGCCAATCGGTCCGCTCCTCCAACTTCGGCCGCAACTTTGTGTTTGATGAGTTTAAAAGTCCTGAAAGTCTACATCGCGGAGGTACCTCTGCACACCAGTGACAAGCGTGCCAAAGAGCGCCCATAGTAACTTCTCTTTCATCTTCATAAAGGAATGAATGAATGGCTCCTATTTATCTGTTTCCTTGCCTTTCTCTATGCATGTTCAGCTGATTTTATCCACCCACATGAATAAATGATGTATACCTTTGACCGCTAGTCACTGCGGGGGAGTATGGTCAAAGGCGAACCCCCGTGTGAAGCGGTTGCATATCTTCCATCTGATTAGTTCTGTCTGGTTACTCTTTGTAAAGCCCGATTCGCATGCTGCGATTTTGCTTGCGAATTCGCAGCTGCGACGTCGGTCACCGCAGCTTCCCCGAGGCTTTTTTTTTTTTTCCGCACCAATGACGTCGCAACTCCGCAATCGCAAGTCAAATCACACCATGTGAATCAGGTTTCAAGGGGCTGTTGGTAAACTGCTGGTTCTGTAAGGTCTACGAGCGTAGCCTAGTAGGCAATTTGACGAAGCACCCTCCCATCCCCGGCGATTTCCCTTTCAGCGAAAACGAAGCAAGAAACATAAACATTACAAGCCACGCCATGCGTTTCGGTAACTGACCGTGACAAAGGATGTCAGGATATACGAACACGAAAAATTGCCACACACGTGAAAACTGTTTTTTGTTGTCGTTCTTAGAGCGTGTTTTGGGGTGAGTGAAATTCTTCAAGTGTCTCTTTTTCTTTTAATATTGTTCGCCAGGATGTTTGACGTGGGCGGTCAGCGGGGTGAGCGTCGCAAGTGGTTCTCGGTGTTCGCTGGCATCGACGCGGTGCTTTTCTTGGCCGCCACCAACGGATTCGACGCTGTGCTCAGGGAGGACAGTACCGTCAACAGGCTGCAGGAAGCGCTCGATCTGTTTCGTGACGTCTGGAACAGCAAGTACGTATCCGAAAGCGTGCCTGACCTATATGACTTATATACATCGTTTCACTTTAAGTCCGATCGCAGCCAACGCCATGATCCAATGGAACCGATTGGGCAGCTCCAAAAGTGCACCGTCACGGCTCTACTTGTTTTTGTGCGTTTGCTATAACCGGCTAGAGCTGCTAGACCAATCGCGCGCAGCAAGCGCACGAAGACGACGAAAGCCATGCCGTGCCCTTTTGACGGTGCTTGATTAACTCCATCATTTTGACTGCATAGGGACGGACTTAATGTTGACTCCTGTTACGTCATTGCTATGCACGTTTGCAAGAGAAGCTTTGTGCGAGGCCCATTTGAGTGGCGCTGGCGCCTCCTAGCGTTTCCGCCATGTTCGGCTGCGTACTAGAGGCTGGTCATTGGGGTGCGCGAACGTAAACCAACCAGGAAATGCCACGACGAGTTCTGTGACGTGTGGGCGTGTGAAAGACAAGGACGTTGGCGCGGCCAAGGGCGCACGAGAGCTGGGCCCGGAAATGGTTGTTGGGCTTGCTCGAATAAACGTGCGTTATTTCTGCGTGCAGCCTGGCTTCTACTTGTTTCGGGTAATCGGTATGCACTGATCCCCAAAAAAGGCCAGCTTAACGTACACCTTGGCAGCGGATTATTTGCCCTTTTCGAACAACACTGGCTGGCGGCAAGGGGTGTGTGGAAGGAGCTCTGGCGCATTTTGATATGCAATATGAGATTTGAGATGTCTTCAAAATTTTTAGGTTTGTTACGGGCTCGGGTATTTTATTTAGTTGTTCGTGCTCTTTCTCGGTCAAATACAACACATGTATGTTTTATAAATAGCTTTTAAGAATCTCTTGACGCTCAGTGGTGTCTACTTCAGTAAGAGACGCCTGGCAATACTGTACGACAAGCAGCGAGCGTCCTGGTTGAGAGTAGGTCTCCCTCACCTCGGGGCGCGTTTCATGGTTAAGCCGGGATCTCACATGCAAAGATGTCAGGGCGTCTCTTTCCGAATGCCCGTCCTCCAGCACGCGTTCGTTGCCTGCCGCCGTGCTTTGACTGCGCGTACACGCTCGAGGCTCACGAGACGATGAAGCATTATCGAAGGGGGGGGGGGGGGGGGGGGGGAGGAGGAGGCTCGTGCTGGAGGCGGAACAGCCGAAAGACCTCCCTCCCTATGAAGCATCATTCTTGGAGGGGGGGGGGGGGGGGAGGAGGCTCGTCCTGAAAGCGGAACAGCCGAAAGATCTTGCCCGTGACCATGCGGGCAGAAACTAAACGAGAGGAGGAGACGAGAGCGCGAGGGGACATCAGAAGAACGAACTCTAACCGGAATTATTAATGGGTACACACGAAGCAATAGCTGCCTTTGTCTCCGCTGCACTCGTCTAACACGTTCGAATGCGAAATCCAAGCGCCGAACGTCGGCGTTCCGCGTTCGACGAGCTATAAAAACACTACAGTGCTTGGCTCTCACAAGAACCAATGTTTCATAGCCTTCGCTGCCGCTATCGACAACAGAGCTGGAACTCCTTGCGCCAGAGTTATCATCGAAAGAATATCCTAAATTTTCTTCTTCCTTTTCAGGAAGCTAAATTCAGCTATATTTATTTTTATATTTATCTAGTATTTTTGTCTTCCCTCAATTTCTTTGTGACCAAAGTGGTTTTCGCAGTGCGATGGGCATCATATAAATGTCGTTGCTCGTTGAAAGAACTCTGTCTGTCCCTCATCTATTTCAGTGTATCTAATTTCTATCGTGTTCTTTATTCAGCAATACTCATCTGCAAATGGTAACCCACTGAACCATCGATTTTTGTTATATGTGCGGATTAATCTTTGCGGTCTTGCATTTTGCTTCCAGCATTATCATGAACCGGACAGAGAAAATTTGTTGTATTTCTCCATAGAAAAATTCAAAAAACGCCCAGACCAAAGTGATTTTTTTTTGTCCGCGTCAAGCAGACGTTTTGAATTAGGGTTGTCCTTAAATAAAGTTCGTCAGTTTTTGAGTTCTCTATAGTATCGAAACCTCGCAATAGCTCGACAATGAACCTATTCCTTTTGAAACGCAATTCATTAAACCGACAGTTTTTTCCTTTTATTTTAAGATATCTGAGGGGGTCTGGAATGATCCTGTTCTTGAACAAGCAAGATCTACTAAAGGAGAAGGTGGAACGAGGCTCCAAGATTGAAGATCATTTTCCGGCCTACAAGTGCTTCAAAACACACAAAGGTAGGGATTTATATAAAAATAGCCACACATGCTTAAAGGGATGGTGAACCAAAATCTAGATTACACAAAACACGGCGGCGAAAGCGTGCAACGGGATGTTACAAACACCAAAACATCACTCATACAGCGATGTCTCGAACGGATGACCGTATTTTCTCAAAAAAGGGAAGCGCATTTGACAGGTTTGTTCACGTCTTGTTTCTCAGAGAAGGAGAGGGAACGGCTTCGCGTCATCTCCGCCTCACCGCCTTGAGGGCGCGAAGCGAAGAGAGGAGGAAACGAGATATCTTCACGTCACGCGCCTCGCGGCCTGGTTTGATCTCGACTTTTTTTTTTTTTTTCCAATATTCGGCCGTCGATTCAAGATATCGCCTTACGTGTAGTGTTGTGGAGATTGTAGCGTCCCGCCTACGTCTCCTGCATTTTTTTTTTAAATCCAAATTTCGGTTCATTATCCCTTTAAAGAATGGTCCAGATGACATATAAATAATTATGTGACGTTGCAAGTACATTTGGGTAGTAGCACATATTTTTATTCGGTTAGAACTTTTTCGAGCTGGATGAATGCCTTTTAAGGAGTGAGTCGGTACAATATAATTCTGAATATTAAAACATTTACAGCCCATATTGCTCGTATTGAATAAAAATAATATGAGATTAAAATCTTTTTAACCGATGCTGTTGTATTTTATATTTACTTTTTAACTGTGCAATAAGATAAAACGGTCGTGAAATAATTTTTTTAAGTTATGCATTTCTCTTGTCCTAAAATATTTCGTAGTGCCCATATTGCTCGTATTGATTAAAAACAATATAAAATAAAAATCTTCTTCACAGATATGCAGTTGTTTTTTATATTAAAATTTTTTTAACGGCGTAATGAGATAAAAAGGTAGTGAGATTGATTGCTATATTGTGCGTTTCTCCGGTCCCACAATATTTTGATAGCTGAAGAGAACAGCTCCGAGTACACGAGGGTCCGGACCTTCATACGGGAGCTTTTCTTGGTAAGTGAATTCTTGCAACTTCCAGGATCCGACATAAGTTGAAAAATCGGCATTTTGAAAATTTTATGACCGTTTTCTTTTTCTCAGAACATCACCCGTGCCGAAGTACCAAGGTCATGCAGCGACTGCGCTCACTCGGGTCTTCTGTCCAGCGAATCCATGGTGAGGGAGTGCTTCTGGCATTACACGACAGCCACAGACACGGACAACGTCCAGAATGTCTTCAACGACGTCCACAGCATGATCATTCTCTCTAATCTCTCCAAAATGGGACCAAGCTGAAGCTCGGCTGGCAACCCGCTAAACCTCGGCAACTCTAGACGTGCTCGCACGGCGTTCGCTCGCACGGCGTCCGTTAGCATCTGTACTGAATAAATTTTTTCTGTTAAATAGCAGACAGAAAAACAAATATGTGATTAAGTCGCCTTTTTCGAAGGATACCCTCTTATGCTGCCCCCCCCTCCCTCCCTCCCTCCTCCCTCCCTCCTCCCTCCCCCCCACCGTCTAAGTGTGAAGGCTGGTTCACACATTTGCGACTTCTTACGACCGCAAAGGCTAAAATCCAGTTTTAAGCCTTTGTGACTGCATACGAACGGATGCGCTGCTGAGCAGACAATCTTAAGTAGTCCCAAGGGACTTAAACGTCGATTTATAACTTCTCCAGTTGTAAGCAGTTGCGTGTGTGTGAACCAGCCTTAAGCGTATACGTGCGTTACACTTTCATCAGTGACATGATACCTGCCAAGTTGGCAGGCATATATTGTCAGCCAAATTTAGTGGGCTTTGTTGACTCTACATACAGCATTCTTTATGTATTCTACGGACAAAGATTTTGTCAGGCACGACCTCAACACGCTTGAATTTTTATATTTCTATTCTATAAAAACCAGGGCCATATCTTAATTATAAGTTCTATGCATTTTTGAAATTTTTAAAGAAAAGTATGCGACTGAAAAGAAATATTTGTGCTCGCGCTTCTTCCGGATCCTTTTTCTTCATACTTTGTTGGTAAAGATAATTCGCGCACAATCCAGGGGGAATTATACATTCGCTAAAACGTGCCTGACAGTGTGTGTGTGTATGTGTGTGGGTGAGTGTGTGAGTGTGAGTGTGAAAGAGAGTGTGAGTGTCTGTGTGTGTGTGGGAGTGTGAGTATGTGTGTGGTGCGAGTGTGTGTGTGAGAGAGCGTGTGTGCATGGCAGTCTGTATGTCCGTGTGTGCGTGTCCGTGCGTCTGTGTGCGCGCGCATGTGGGCGTAAGTACGTTCGTGCGTGTGCGTGTCCGTGTGTGCGCGCGCGGGTTTGTGTGCGCGCGTGAATTTTCGTGTGTGTAGAATGAAAAGCTAAGGTCTGGAAAAATGCCGACAAGAAAAGAAATGGTTCGGTGGGCCCGAACACTACGTCAGGGGGCTGTCGTATGTTTAATACAAATGAGGAAATTGGATTTTTGTTGAAACGAGAAACACCTTTATTTACTTTCTACACACAAAATGAAATTAATCAGCAAGTTTTTTCAGTGCGCATGTTTACAAAGTGCTGTGATAAAAAATAGCTACTTGGCCGCTTTTGACAATGTTTACTGCTAAAGTACTAGAGATAATTTTGTTCTCAATGTACCTTTTGCCAAATTACACAAACATCGGAAAGAATGCTGGGAACGTAGGTACACGCACTGCACGCGTTTGATTAATTTTTGTAAAATATTAGGAATAAATAAAAAAAAGGCTTTGATAAACGCGCGTGCAAAGTCCGATTTGCGTTTAGAATTTTGCTTTAGAGTTGCCGCTTCAGTCGCCATGACGCGTAACAGGTGTAACTACATTCCCGCACGCTCCTTAGTGCTTGGATATAGCAAAAGATCAGTTGCCTTTTCTTTACGATATTCTGAGCACCCACTCTGCGTCAGACCTTCCCCACAATGTACGCAAGCCAAATATTATAACTTTTATCGACGCGAAATTGCTAGCTTTACTAACATAAAAAAAAAAAAAATTCATTCTGACTGTAACAACCGAGATTTTATTAATTTTTTTTCTTAGAAAACCAACAGCGTGCTTTCTGAGCCTATTTGCGAATGGAATATATAGGAACGACTATCGTTTGAAACATTCGGTAAATTGTACTTCTATTGGCGTTCTCATCACCATATTTTTTTTTCGTTAAGATATACTTCTACGCGACAGAGTTTTTTTTTTTTTTTTTTTTTCTCTTTTCTTAGTACACTGCTTTACAACAGCGACTACAACAATAACTAGAGTGTCGTGGAATCTGACTAACGCGATATCACTGAGTGCGCCGTTTCGAAATGTACGACGACGTTCTGAAGCCAGTCACGTCACTTAGCCCTTTTCTTTTGTTCCCGTGCAGGGATGTATACAGGTGTTGATCGTAAGACATTTCGATGAGACGGCGTTTCTTTCAACATGACGCATGGAAACCGCGCAGTTACGAAGCCACTGTACAGGTGCAGCATCTGAATTAAGAACTTGCGTTCTTTAGTTGGTGTGGAGGGTTCTCCGACTCCAGCCAATATGTTGTCATTACCCCTTTGCCCTGAAAAGAAACGAATGAAATCACATGTCAGCTCCCTGTAGGTGAGAACGGCAACCACCTACGCCAAGAAAGAGGAGGAGGGGGGGGGGGATTATAGGGCTTACAGCATTGCACGGCCTACTTTCGGCCCGGGCCCGCTGACTCTCAGTCTTAACCGACCCGGACCCAGCCCGATGGGATGTATCTGACCAGGCCCGGCCCGGACCCGGCCGATGCGATACCTACACATGATCAGTCCCTGCCCCCCCCCCCCCCCCCCCCCCCCCCCCTCCCCAGCCCGGTGAGAGGCCAAAGCGTACCTCGTCTCTTAAATTCAAAGCTTCCCTTTGAAGGAGTGAGTGCATTTGATTCGTTTACTAATTTGCATGAAAGACGCTTTCATATCGCAGTCACGTGGTGAACATTCGAAAGGTTACGCAAATATAAGAGGCATAGCTTTTCCTTGGCAGCCAGAGGACTTTTATTCTTTTTCAAGAGTTCGAAAGACAGTCGTACTGTACCCTGTGCCCGGACTGCCCCCGTTTTCTTGCTTGCTGGCAGCTGTCCCACTATGCTGATGGAATCCCCAGGATTCTCCTTAACTTTTTGTGGGCTTTCTTAGTCCAAAACAGCTTTCTTTATTTTTAAGATTATTTTATTGGCGTCGTAGTGAGTTCACACTTCGGCTTTTTTTTGTGTGTGTCTGTCAAATGTAGACGATCAATGCGTTAGTAATTTCTTCTCAACGTTTTAGAAAGTTGCGCGAGCCCGGTTCGGGTCCGGAAACAATCCATGCTACCCAGTTTAAGCCCCGTAATAAGGCTCCACGACTCCCCCCCCCCCCCCCCCCCCCCCCCCCCCCCCCATTTTCTTTCTCTTCCTCCGAGTCATAAAGGTCCCAGCCATTCCAGCTCCCTCCCCGCCCCCTCCTCCGAAGGGAGTTCCTGGCACGCCACTGCGCTCCACTCCTTACCTTTACTTGAACTTCACCCCTTAGAGTCAGCACAAATGTTCCGAAGGTGTCGAGAAGTTCCTTCGCTTTTGGACTCACGTGTATCTTGAGAGCTGCGAGTACATGTTTGTCTTGTAAAAAACTAGGTACGAGCGCGCAGCTTACGTTTGCGCTTAGCTGCACCAGAGCTTTTACATTTTAAAGTACTGATCAAATCATTGCGTGCTTATTGTATGAATTTCACAACAACGTAGAATACTTTACGCAGAAAAAGAAGGACATCCGGCAAAACAAAATATTTTGTTACTATATTGCGGTTATTTTCGACATGTCGGCAGCCCCCCAAGTCAGCAGGGAGCAAGCTTCTGCATTTCTTATTTAGCGCTGCTTCTTACTCATTTAACGTAGCAAGAACATCTCACCATCATTGGAAGCGCCATTTACTCTAGATTTAGCCCGTAGAAGCTTTCCAAGTTTAAAAGTATCGATGACCAGAAGAACCCTATACATCCAAACAGAAAAAATCCTGAAAATTTGGTATGAGCAATCTGATTGGTTCGGACCCAAAACAGGGTTTATGATTGGTTCTGCCCGGTGACGTGATATTTTGCCATCTTCAGTAACGCCCTTTCACAGTACCTTCCGCTTCAAATCATATTCCTGCTTTGCTGCTCTTCCTTAGTATGATTTGCCTCTTAGCTCTTGCCAGTTTATCTGTCAAGAAATGCCGGCTACAGGAGTTAACTTGCCTACAAACGACAGAAACTGGTAGCTATTGCCAGAGGAACAACACAGTCTCAAACAGAAAGGTGCTGACAATGCTCCAGGTGACTTTTCCCCACGTCGGACTCATAGAAAAGAAATAAGCCTAAAGTTGAAACTTCGAATCCATTTTTCTTAGTTTCACTTTTTGGCAGGAAATGTGGTATGAGGAAATGTATCATTTGACATTTCGGAAGTGTAAATATTTCATTCACTGCCGTCCTGGACTTAAATTTCCTGAGGAACAAGTAAACATACTCGTAATCTGAAAAAGCTAAATTCTTCACGACACAAACTGAATATTTCAAAACACTAAAAATGTGTTAAAATCTTTTGCTCTTCTTGGATGTTATCGTTTTTCTCCAGAATTGCACTTTTACAATTAATTTTATGTTAACTTGCATTATGGGTGTTCTACTTCACATTACATCAAACATTTTGTGGATTGCAATTATTTTTTAAAGTACATTTCCTAATAAAGTGACTTTTTTCTGGAGATTGTTGAACATAGTATGTTGTAAAATTGACCTTCAAGACTGAAATATTAGACCTCATTAACCCTAATGGAGTTCAATTCAGCCTAAAAGTTTGAATCAATTTGAGGGAATGGTTCAAAAGTTGACCCTCCCAAGCCATATCCCCACTTAAGCAAAACCCATTTCTACCAACATATGTACTGTCCGCATCGAACTCTGAACAGTGACATTTCTTTGATGAGCTTAGCATGGGATGAGGACGATGGCCAGAAAGTCTCAGTGGCAAAAAAAAAAGAAAAAGCGCTTACTCTTTTGCCAGTGATATTGCATGACCATAGCATTGCGGTGTCGCTCGTCCTCATCACTGGCCACGCTGTATAAAGGTCTAGCGGCCCGGGCTAGCGTGACTGAAAAATAACTTTTTTAAATTTTTTATTTACGTTTACTTTTCTCTTGGAGCGCGAGCACCCCGCCACGTGCTCACACTCTGGCGTGCGCGTGAAATAGGGAGTTATTGTAGGCCGCGTTTCCCCCTCCGCTCAGCCCTCCTAAACGAAGAGGCCGCTACTGCGCCTGCGCGCCCATGTCCTTGAATGTAGAGTTCCAAGTATCGTAGCGGGTTGCGGAGAGCGTTGCGGGACGGCGAAAACAATCTACGAAGAGGAGTTCGCTTCCCGATGCCATAGTGGTCTGACGTCCCTACAAAAAGCTTCTGGTTGGCTCTCTGGAAACCTTGCAGAGCAGCTTAAGTGCAGAAATTTCTGAGGGCGTATGCTTGAAAGGATAAATACAAGAATATAATTTGGATATTCACAGGAGAGCTAGCGTAGTTTCATGGTGCCGAGTGCCTCAATACGTATAGACGCTTTGCAGCAGGTGCGCATGGGCACCGCCATAACATACCTTCAGTTCTTGTTTCCTCCCCCCTTATTCCGTTCACTTCATCATTATCACAGCAGGGCAGGTCATTGCCATTTTAGATTCTACTCTGTCCTTCTGCCCAGCGTGGGTCTTTGTGGAGACTCGTCAACGCCCATTTCAGAGGCTCGGCATCTCGGTAAGACAAGAGAAGGTCAGCAATGGCGGGTGTGACCTGGCGCGTGTGTAAAGCGTATATACGTATAATTTCACGTAATGGATACCGAGACACAATCGAACAGAAATTCGGCGGCTCTTACGTTCTCCTGTCGTCTCCATGCGTGAGGCTGTATTGACAGTGTCCCCAAAAAGACAGTATTTGGGCATCTTCAGTCCCACGACGCCAGCGACACAGGGGCCTGCGTATACACACACAATAAAAAAAAAAAAAAAAAGATACGGTGCAACATTTGCGGCTCTGGGCTGGCTTTTGGTTAGTCGTAGTCAAACTTTCGTTTGTTCACTTCGTGGTTGCGTGCAGCCCTTTGCATTATGCAGATCGTCTCCCAGCAAAATATGAACCACGCACGACGGTTCTTACGATCAAATTTCTTTCTTTATATCGTATTACAGGAAAGCTTAAACACTTCTTGGAAGAAAAAACAAAAAACAAAAAACACGAGTTAGAGGTGAATTCTAGCGTATTTTTATCCCGGGAATCTGAATATCACGTTCGACTTCCCTGAAGATGTAACTAAACGCGAGAAAACGCGAAAAACCTTCGGCCAGTAGTAACGTCGTACTAGGATCTTTGGGCGCCAAGCGCATGTCACTCATGTGAGCAGCGCGTGCAATTGCAAGCTTGCCAGGTATATTTCTCCGCACTGACACCAGTCGTGACGTCTCTTTCTGACCTTTCTTTTGAAATTAGCAAGAGTGCGTGTGCAAAGCTTTGACAGGCGCTGAAGATGCGCGAGAGCAGAAATTCCGAAAACTCCTAGTATGACGTTAAGACTTTGATGGCGCAGGCGAGCTGGTGTAGATTTACCATTTCCTTGAACCACCTAAGAACCATCTCACTCCCTTTTTAAAAGAGAGAAGGCGGTGCCAGAAAGCCCATCGGGAAAAATCGGTGTCGTGGGAAAACGGAGTAGTGTACGAGATAACGTTGGCGTGTGGATTCAAATACGTTGGGCAAACATCGAGATGTGTGAATGCTCGAATAACAGAGAATAAGAGAAACGTAAAGATCAAAGAGGCCAGTTCACGTACAGCAAAATATGTAGAAGATTGTAACAACTGCACGGCAGAGTGGTCGGGAACAGATGTCGCGTGCAGGGAGGTGAACGGTGTCAAAAGGGCAGTTAGAGACGGAAAGGGTTGATTCTAAGGCAACTGCATAAGTCAGGCATCGCTGGTTCTGGGTCTCACTTCCAAGTCCTTTTTGCGTATGTAATGTGGCTGGTTGATCTGTTTTTTTTTTTCGATTTTGAAAGTAATTTGTCTAAATAAGTTTTTTTGGTGCTTAGTAGATCTGTGTGGGTTTTTTTCCTTTTTTAAAATAAAATGTATATAGTTTTTGCAAGTAAGGGTGTTTCTCGGTCGTCTGTTCAGCACGTTCGGCCGGGGTTCAAAAAGTGGTGGGAAATTCTTTGCGTATGTCGAAGCTTGGATTGCCTGCAAATCAAGCAAGCGTGTTTGAGTGTACTTGGACGATGAAAAATCCAGGAAACAGGTCATGTCTTTCGTTAAACTTTTGACTGTGTGCGTTCTTTTTTTTATACGGTGATTGGTTGGCGACGTTTGATGTTTTGGTATATATGGACATGTTACTAAATAAACTTTCAGCTGAGTTTGAGACGACGCCTTCTGTCCGTCTGTTCCTCTCTTTTCCACTTTTGGTTCTTCTAAATTCTCCACCCAGTCTCAGGTGGTTCAAGAAAAGAGTATGACCTCATGCCCCGGGAAGGAGGGGCTTCGGCGGTACTTTTTATTTTCTGCAGCCTCCGTGCACCTAGTCGAAACACAATCTCGATATTCATGATTCTGGAGGCCGAATGAAGGCCATTGAAATGTTTTTTCTTAAATACAAAACCGCTTCCGTTTCTTTAGAGCTAGATCATGTACTCAGTATTCAATGATAGTGGTTGTTCTCTTGAGAAAGCCTCATGGCACGAGGGGGAAACATCCCTTCGCTGATTAATCCAAACTAAACCTTCCGGTTAACCGCTGTTGAATACTTCATAGGCAAATCTTGAAAAATAAAAGCTGCTTGTCATCAGAAAATATATGATATCATAGCCTTTTGAAGTTCTTCCCTAGACTTTCTTTTCATTTTAAGTGGAGACGCAGCCGACGCTACGAGCTGATGGGACCAATAAGACAGCTTTAAAGGCGCATCATCATAATTCTGTACTTGTTCAATCATCGCTGAACCAATCATAAACAGGAAAGGCCCAGTGATTGGCACTTTTGACGCTGCTTGATTGGTCCCAGTAGCTCGTAGCGTCGGCTGAGTCTGAACTTAAGCTGAAACGAGCCATAGCTGCAGCATGGTGAATCTGGTGGTTACCTGATGCGGCACTTGAGCTCAGGGACTGCCGAACACCTCCCGCGCATTTGCATGTAGCCGGCGCAACGTAGAGTCAATACACTTCCGGGCTGTTGTCAGGCAGTGTTGGCGGTAACTCGTTATAAGTAACGGCGTTATCGGTAACGCGTTGCTTTTTTTAATAACGTAAAACGTACTCGTTACTTCTTCATAACAGGACGGATAATGTACCTACGTTACTTACTTTGAGTAACTGGTAACGGAGTTACGTCACTCGTTACTTTTTCTTCCCAAACATGAACAACTTACTCTTGAATTTTTTTTTGTGTTGTTAAGCAGTTTGTTAGTAAAATTTGTTAGTTTTTCGGATTTGTTTTTAATATTTATGTGAAACCGAGAAAAAGATAAAGAAAGTATGCTCAGTTTCCGCACGAACATCATGCTTCTTGAAGTATGGGCCTTGTGCAAACCCGTAACGTCGAAACAGTGAAATGTGTTAATTTATAATAAAAAAGAACTAACGCAAAAGTAACATGCGTTACTGTTAATCGGTAGTGGTAACGCGTTTCTTTTATTTTGAAGTTACATAGGCCGGTAACGCGTTTCTTTTATTTGCAAGTAACGAGTGTCGTATCTCATTGCATTTTTCGGTAACGCCTACAACACTTCCGTCAGGCTAACGCTCCACAGAAAAAGTGCGCTGTCACGCACCTCCAGCCAAATGCCCACCGCCTCCCCCTAAGCCTGGCCCCTGTTCACGTACGATTAGAACATTCCACAAGTCAGCTAATGGTTCCAGCTTGACGTCCCGACCAGCAAGCCCTGGTTTGCCGATTCTCGATAGACCGATCTCATCAGCTACAGAGCCGTATATGTAGAGAGGTTGGTCAATGTGAGGCGCGGGCAGAACCAGGGCGTGCACCAGATTCGGAAAGAGGGCTTGGCATGCTCTCTTGACCAACCAGAAGCCGAAAAGAATCCCCTAGCGATGGTAGCGAGAAACAGTTCTGATCAAAGGTCTATGTTCGTAACTGGTTTTAATAAGCCCGTAAGAGTGAAGTGTAGTAACTCTTCGTAGTTGAAAATAGGGTGCACGTGTTGTTTGGATCATGATCATGTAGAAATATGTAAGAAACGAATGCGCCGCTCTACTCTGTTTTGCTCGGACAGAGTGTGACTGCTCGGACGGCAGATTCCCGGCCCTCGGCGCTTGGCGTACAGATTATGTCGATCGTTCCGCTAGTCGCACTCTTCCACCATCATTTTGGATGAGCGTGATTGAAACATCACGTGTACCATATTTTCAGTCATCGAGAGTTACTCTAATGCAGTTATCAGGTTTGTTTCTCGCGACCACCGCCAGGGTATTATTTCCGGCTTCTGGTTGGTCACATTCGAATTTCTGAAGACGCCCTGGTACACCCCAGCCCGATTTTGGCAAATGACGCCTCCTAATTTGTCTCCTATACTTCCCAACAAATGGCCAAACTCTCTACATATACGGCTCTGATCAGCTAGTTTGAGTACGCCAGCGCTGTCGCCATGCATCGTGGGAACTGTAGTCTTTCTGCACGCGCGACAATTACGCTGGAGGTCTGTGCGTGCAGAGCACGAGCCGGCACGAGAGGTAGGCGCCCGTGCACGAGACAGCTCGTGCCGGCTCGTGCACGGGCGCCTACCTCTTGTGAACTACAGTTATGGCGGCGTCCCGCATGCGTGGAATACCTAGTAAGATCGGTCTATTGAAACTTAACTGAATGCCATTTGGAGTCCTTTTGGCGCGAGGAAGAAGCTCCAATGCTGTTACGAGAGTGCAATTTGTGAACATGTTTACTTTTTGCTTGCACCCATATATGCGCAGACTACGGGATGTGTACCAAAACAGGCGTAGTGAGAAGACAAACGAAATTGTTTTATACAGTTTTATAGCCCGAACAAAAAAGGCGAAGTAACCAGTAATGCAAAGTGACAGATCTAGAAACATGCAGTTTTAGCGATGTCCCTATTCATTTAGCCTCAAAAGACATTTTTTTCTTATTGAATTCCAAAGAAACGAGGTATGTAGGGAGACACGCAGGGCTCCTGTCTGGGAAAAGCCGCCCTACTCAGAATACGTTTTTGTTCGTGATATTGAACAAGCAATCCGAGTCGTCGTTTCAGATTGAATTCCGCCAGACAATTGGTAAACATTCTCCAAATTCACCATGATGCACGAACATATTTATACTAAATATAAAAAAGTAAAGTGATTAGGTTCCCCGCGTCTGGGATTCGGATTTTGGAAGTTTCGAACGACTCACCAGAGTGGATGCCGATGCGCAGCTGCAGCTTGCGTTGGGGTAAGTGTCTTATCTTGAAGGACTGCAGTTGTTCGCGCAGACAGAGGGCCATGCGGGCGATCTCTCGCACGTGGTCGTTTCCGTTCCGAATGGGCAGACCCGAAGCAACCAAGTAGGCGTCGCCAATGGTCTCAACCTGGAGAACGAGTGGACATCGTTATTACTTACTACACAGGCAGCACTCGTTTGTAGTTGATCCAGAATACGAAGCTTATCATTACTATCTCCATTATTACAGACGTTTTATTGCGGAACATTTACGCGATGATATTGCATGCGTATCTGATGTAGTACACACCAGAAGCGGTATATCTCCGGTTGTGGTTTCAAAACATAAAATCTTGTATAGAGACACTTAAAAAGAAAAAAAATATATATATATATATATGAGTGATGCCCACACAGGCATTCTCTTCATAGGCGTTGAGGAAGGGGGACAATAATAAAGAAGAGGGAAAATGAACGATGTTTTAGAGAGTTCGGGAGGAGGTGACGATGATGACAATTTTGCGGCGTAGCACAAACATTCTCTAGGAATCGCGCCATGTACTCGAACCTAATGTGACAAAAAATGGCGTATACATTGTTTAAAAAAAAAAGAGAAGAAATTAACATTCTTTTGTAAATGTCACTCATTAGCTCTTCCGCGGGTTCGGTTGTCCGAGTTTTTAAAGCCACCTGGGCTCTCAGAAAGACTTTTAAGAGGACGTGAAAGCCTTCGTTGACCACAAAGCGAAAGTACCTCAGAAGAAAGTTTCTTCGGTAAAATTTCACATAGAGCGGTGTTTTTGGCATTCTAATCGCGATTAGATTTTGGAACGCGAGAAAACCAATGACTGAGTTGCAAAACAACGAAACCTCACGCTTATTGACAATCTTCTTCGCTATGAATTGACCTTATACATCATAAACAATAATATGATTTTATTTTCTTCGAAATCAATGTAATAATTAGACCATCCTTTGTAAGACCCCGCAAAAATTGTTTGGGGTGTCCCACTTATGTGTCGTTTAACAAACACATTGGAAGAATCAAATGTTCTTCAGAAGCCCTACTAAAGCTGCCGCTTCTTTTTTTTTTTTTTTTGGCAAGAAGAGTTAAATAATTGATGACCTAGTAGACTATCTGCACAATTCCTTTTCACGTAGTTAGCTTGGCCTGTATGAATAGTTGTAATTTACGGCCTACGTTGAATCAAAAATGATATAGATAAATAGTTAATGTTGTTTTATTGTTCCTGGCCAATTTAAACGGCATGAAAGCCATTGTCTCACCAGTCTTATACTGCGAGTCTTATACTACAAGAAATTCTAGCTTCGATGACGGAGATATAAGTCGCGAATCTATAACAGAACCGCCGGTCTGTAAATCGTAACCAGAACTACGCTTACCTTGTACACATCATGTTGATCGATAATGGCATCAAAGCAGGTGTAGAGGTCGTTCAGCAGCGTCACAACCTAAAATCACACACGAAAACAATTCGTCCTCACACTTTAGAAAAGAAGGCTAAAATCCTGAAACAATAGAAATTTTATTGTTTGTTTTACTCTTTTGAGGGGGGGTAGGCAACAGAAAAGTTCTTGTCGTTGCTCGTCGGCTAAATATGAAATCTGACTTAGACGGGCATGTTTTGAATTCTGCGCTCATGAATCTCCATATTCTGAAAACCTGGAGCGTCTACGTCACAAAGCTGCAATGGAGAAAGCTAAAAATATCTTTAGACATGAAATAAAATAAAGAAAAAAAATACACGCTGTGCCACTGGGCGTTACGTTGCTCAATATCACAGCACAGGCTGTTTATTAGGTTTGAACATATCTTCAGCCTCCTTATTCGCCGCGCTCCCTCCCTGGATTGCAGCGATCGACTTTCCCAAGTGTTTAGAGGGAAAGTAGATGCTTTGTATTTTTTAGAGTGCAGTATCCGGTGCAAGAGCGAAACATCAGTACGCCCTCTGCACTGCACACATACGTTAGAGAGCTGTAAAAAACACTGGAAACTGTAAGCTGGCAGCACGTGCTATGAGGGACAACTGCTATCTGGTGTTTTCTTGTTTTTTTTTAAATTATTTTATAGCATTTTTTTTTTTCAAATAACGATTTCTATTTATTCCTCAAAACTGGCAAAACATCCTTGACGGCGCGCATCAATGTGCTTGGGGTGGACAATTTAAGTGCCAGAACATTGGTGACAGGACATTTTCACGACGAGGAAGATTTCGGGAAAGCTAAGAAAAAATCATGTTTTTAAGTTTTGATGGACGTTTTGCTCCTTGATCATTGGTGACTCTGACGTAATGCAACGTAGGGTTGCGTAGAACGTAGCTCAATGAGTAAATGTATACATGTTTATGGAACTCGTGGTTTTAATTCAATTGATTATTAAATCTACACAAACGATTCCGAGATGCGGAGCTCAATCACCTGCGTCTAGAAAATCTCACTCTAACATGGAAGCTCATCGAACGTAGTTTTTCAATTCGGTAGTCGTAACGTTTTCTTTAAATCATTAATAAAAGAAAACGTCGAGATGGAATGGGAAGGGCCAGTCTTAAAATTACTAGCAACCGCGATCTATCTTTTTCATATGCTTATTATCAGTAACGTGGTGGACGGTGTCTCGAAGTTAATAATTGTATACGCATGTTGCTTAAGCTTGATATAGTTTTTAAGTGAATGAAGATGTACTTCTGTAAAACCCTTTCAATATAAAACATTAAATACATGAAATTACGTAAATTTTTACCTGCATCGGGGAGCTGTCAGCAGACAGCGACGTGAATCCAACTATATCACTGAAGAAAATCGTGACCGAATCGAAGGCTTCCGGTTGGACGTGGGCGCCTTTCTTGAGTTCATCGGCCACATACCTGCAGGGAAGAGCTCCTATACCCGCTGCACAACAGCATCTCTCTTGTTTCTCGAGCAATCTTCCAGAACGCTACTCGAAATGTTCGGCACTCAATGAACGCAAGTCAGTGTCCGGACCGCGTCTTTAGAGAGTTTTAGGGAACCGTTTTTGCACATCCGATACGGTACCATGGGCACTCCGGTACGCACTGCGCATGCGCCACCACAGAAGACTCGCGCATGCGCAGTTCGTACCGGAGGGCCCATTGTACCGTATCGGGTGTGCACAAACGAATTCCGAAAACTCTCTTTCGACTGCTGTGTTTACCGTCTCGGTTATGCGTTAAATGTGGTCCTAAAAAATGCAAAGAATCGTGCCACAGGAGACGACTTGTCATGCTGTCGGATGTCGCGACCCTGGCGGTTGACTGTAGAGTTTCTGGCAAGAAAAGCGAGCGGATGCGGGAATCCCTCTCATCGCAGCGTCCCAACTCCTGGCCATTGAAGCTCTCGTGAACTGGCTGACTGCATAGTGACCTACAGCAGAACAAACGTCTGCCACATACACCTTCGCTGTTGTGCCACCGCCAGGATCGCGGCAGGTGGTGATATGTCACGCTTATAACGTCATAAGGCGTGTATCGAAGGACTATATTTGATGACCCGGTAAACGCACAAGTCGGCGACGCATTCCAAGTACCATAACACCAGGTCTATATCAATCATAAATGGCAAGTACACACTAAAAAAAAAATAAAGAAACAAAAAACCTGCATGAATCCTTTTGTGCGTTGTACTTCATAGCCGAACAACCAATCGATGGTTGTTTGTCAATCAGTTAGACTAGTGATAAGGGTGATTGGTATCGTGCTTCAGTGGCGAGAAGGTCTCAGTTTCATAGGTGATGGACGCCGTTTGGCCTTTAAGACTGCGTGCATGGCCGCCATTGGAGCACCACCGTACCGATTATACTGTGAGTGCATATCACGCGGCATCATAATTAGAGTAAATTGACAAATTTTATTTAATTATTTAATTTATCACGACGATCTTACCATATACAGTCATGCCTCATTAAAATGAACCCCGTTAATAAGGACACCCCGTTGTATAAACACCCTTTCAAGGACAGAGTAAAAAAAGAAATGCATGCATTTTTGTTTCGTTATTATGGACAACTAAAATTATGGGCGATATTTTGGGGGGAACGGAGGTGTTCATATTAACGAAACATAATTGTATTATGTACCACTGGCCGTTAAACTCACCTGCAGAAACCTATTTTCTTAACAAATTTGTTAAGCTTTAAAAGTAACACCCTGTATAGCAATCACAATTGATGAAATATTGTGCGTATTTCTCGTCGCCATACGAAAAACGAAAGGCCACCTCTTCGAAGCCTCTCTGTCAGGATTCAGATGAAGCGCATCCAATCGATCCCTATTTTGGTACTCGGAGGAATGGGCCTTCCCGGGAGGCCTCAAATGTTGCAGCCGACATTTCGCGAATAAACAGAGCGAAGCGCTCACTGCCATTCATCTCGCGGCTCTCAGGGGGAACCTGCGAATACTCTCCAAGAGTATCAGATATTGCTCCGTCTCACTTTGGTAGTAATTGGTAGAGCAGTTCGTCCGTGCGCTTTTTCTCCTCCATAAGAGACTGAGTCTTCTCTTCGACCAAGGATTCCAGATTGTTGGCGTACTGCTCCATTCTTTGAAGAAGGTTGTCGAAGAAATTCTTGCTGGAAAGTCCCCTGATGGAAGAAACCAATGTTTCGATTACTTGGCGTGCTTCGATGAACGACACGGTGAGTCATGTGTTGTCTTTAAGAAGCATCAACAAACAAACAAACATAGACATAGGTGCGTGCGTGTGCAATGAAAGAAATGAAATCCTAATTCGGCGCGTAAAACTAATTAAATATTTAATATCATACTAACAATATTGGCACTACGGGAGGATTACTTATTTAGTTTTATATCCTAAATTGGTTTCAATTGAGAGTGACATTGTATATGTAGCCTTAAACGAGCCTTTTGTGGAAGGTATGTAAAAGGCGAAAGTGTACGTAAAATAGGAATCAAAACGAGTGAGTGAAGAAATTTTGCTCACCACAGCAACGTTGTAAGCTGAACCTTTACGTATCTTTCGTTGTGTATATCTGTTGCTTTCTACATACATATAGAGCCTTAAATTAATTAGCTAGCTCGCATAGACTAACAGTCAATTAATTCTTGTCGTTGTAGAAAAAATTAATATCGTGGTGCACTCGTTGTTTCAAAGTAAGCAGCATGACCGAAATGTGAATTTTAGAATTTGTCTGTTATCTCGTTATCTCTTAGCAGCATTGTCAATCGCCCGACCACTGGCGCTAAAGTTGACTGATTTACGCAATACATAACTAAATTATTGCTCGTTTATTCTTGCTTTTGTCTCCATGTCTTCATATTCTTCACATTTTGTTTTCAGAATGTCTCCAGCACAATCTTGCGCTGGAGACAGCATGGACACATCAGACGAAAATCTACCACTGCTATAGCTTGGCGTTTTTGTTGTTCTTGTACATACCACCTAGCTCTAGCAGCGGGACGAAGCTTAAACTACGCAGCCAGCTAGAAAAATATAAGTGTTCAAAATCGTAAATGGAATAATACACAAGTAAAGCAAAGTGGAAACGTCCGCAACTTCTTACCGTGAATGTAAACGATATTTTTGCGTTTCAATAAGTTATGGATGTTGAAAACAAATGAAAGACGTTTACAACACCCTGTAACGCCGAGTTAGAGCGCAGCTCTTGAGGAGGAGGAGGGAAGGGTACTGAGGGGAGGGTATACCCCTGCTCCCTCCTCCTCGCCTGTTCTTTCTCCCCTCCCCCTCGTTCTCCTCCCCTCCCCTCCACCTCCCCCCCCCGCGCGTTGCATCATGGGAAATGTCCCATAATGCACCGCGTGGTTATGCCGACGGCGACGCCGACGCCGCTCAAGCCGGAAACGGGCGCCTAACCGCTCATTCACACTGGAAGCAGATTTGCGTTCGCAAAGCGGTTGCAAACGCGGTTGTATAAAGATCCAGTACAATTGCACGCGCACTTGATGTAATCTAGTGCGCGTGCAATCGTACTGGATCTTTATATAACCACGTTCGGCAACCGCTTTGCGAACGAGGATCCGCTTTCAGTATGAATGAGGGGTAAGAGCTGCGCTCTAAAAAGGCATAAACAAGTAAGAAAAGTGCGTACAACCTACGGAATTTACCCATATCCACGCCCATATGTTTGCATAGCACAGCATAAATCGCTCTGTATGAAAGTTGTACGAAGCATTTCTGATGAAAGGCGTCGCTCTTGAGCGCCTGAGCTCGTTTGCTATCATCATTGCACTCAGAGGAACATATCGTTGCGATTTAAGGGGACATCCCGGCAAATGACGAGGGAGATTGAAAGAGAGGTTTGAACCTAAAAATAAACTCTCCGATGCAGCAGCATGAAGGACGTGAGCATCTAAAAGGTATACGTCCCATCGCAGTACTCCTGTTTTTCTTGTTGCTTTTTTTTTTGTTTTTGTGATGCGTTTCTTTCGTTCTTTCCTTCCGCGCACTTCACCCTGAACAGCAAACATTGGCTGTAAGAGTGTTTGGGCAAGTAAACGCGTATGGATTTTTTTAGAGGACCTCATTTGCTTTTACTTAATTTTTACTAGTTCTGCTGGACACTCTATTTGACGCCTTCTGAAATATCCCGAGCGCGGGAAGGAGAGGTGGTCAGCTCGAAAGCCGCTGCCATCGCCGAAACTTTTCCAATCCATCAGTGCCTCCGATTGAAGCGCCGGAAACCAACAACTGATGCAACACCTCGTGGCCTTTTTGTAAGTTTTTTGCTCACGCAATAAGGCCTTCCGACAGAAATGTGCAAGGACAGTGAAGAACAACTTTTTGATTAAACAAGCGCCGCAAAAATATTTCTATCGAGCTATCCATATCTGCTTCTTTACCTTTATGGAAACTTTTTTTTTTTTATAATTACAATACCGGGAATCTGATCGTCCCCGTTACTTATTGGTATGAAGAGAAATTTGAAATATAGTCAGAGTTATACCCCTGTTGCACGGGCACCCTTAACCGCGCTAAACTCGACTTTAACTCCTGTTACGCGGCACCACAGTTGCCGCACTATACTCTTGGACAGCTATTTCAGAAGTAGTGAGGAGCGCGCGTGCACTGCTTTGATGGGTGCTCAGATGCTCAAGCGCACATTCGCCCATAGCTTTGACTGCATAGCCGAATAACATTTTCAGCAAGTATTGTGCGCTAACTGTGGTTTAGCGTAACTGCAGTTAAGTGTTCCCATGTAACAAGGGTATTACTGTGGTTTAGCGTAACTGCAGTTAAGTGTTCCCATGTAACAAGGGTATTACACATCATAACGGCACGTGGTCATTTAATACAAAATAAACATAGTTATTTTTTTTTTACCTGTGCAAAATTTACGAAATCAAAGCAATAAACATTGTAGGCAGACATTAGAAATGAAAATCTTCCACAACTGTCTTGCGGTTTCAATATGCTTATCTTAAAGGGGTCATGAAGCGATATCGGGTTTGAATACTCTTGACTTAGCAGAGGCGTACTTGTTCTGTCTGGCTCAAGTATACTCGCACAGACCGCCACTGATTCAGAAGCTTTTTTGTCGTGGTGAAATTGCCAGGATAAAAGGGAACTATTTCTTTCAGTCTTGCCTTCGCAAAACTCGATGATGTAATTGTGGGATTGAAACGACCCACCTGACGACAGTCGAGCGCGGCTCATGGATTGAACACGAGAAGTGCGTGAGCACTCGACTTCGGCTCGCAAAATGCCTCGGCGGACACTCGGGTAGTGACTCGTGTCCAAGCACTGCGGTAATGAGAATAGCCAAACTCTAACAATGGCTGGAGCTCAGCACGCGTTTTCATACTTTGTAAACCCCAGCGCGTGGATATGATTAACGTTGGTGGAATAGGAGAGGCCCCAGGCCACGTGGCCGCTTGTTCTCATTCCGAGTTGACGGGATGAACTATGCTCATATTTGTCAATTTGTTTAGCGACTGTCCATTGCCTGGAAAAAGAAACTAATGCAAGTTAGTTCAGTTATAACTTTAAAAAGTCATTCTAAGTAGTATTTAGCGAAGTAAGAAAATCGTTTCATGGCTCGTTTAATATACATACATACCCAACAACATCGGCCAAACGTTTCGTGTAAAAGCTTCGCATCCCACAGAAGTTAGATTGGTATCGCATCAGTCACCCTCAAAGGGCCTGCATATTGAGGTACATATCCTTTAAAATAATTCGGGTTTTAATTATTTTTGCGTAAGTAAATGCTATGTCAGTAAAGATAAACATTAAAGGTGCCTTGAGGAGGTTTCTAAGATCACCTAAATATGGCGATGACTCGCTCCGATGGCTCTAAGCATCCTAGAAATCTCTAAATCAACACAATACGCGGTCAATTTCCCTATTAAAAAATGGCCACATCTCCACGTGGTGAATGATGTTGATTGGGGCGAAGCTCTGGTGGTGCTTGTCTGCGTAGACGCTGAGCCGCAGCATGCCGAGCCTTTCGTACGTTTTCATCCATATCAGAAAGAGAATTTGTGGTATGGAACGTGGTTATATACGCATTTGAGCATTTGACTGCAGCGCCCTCACGTCTATAAACGTTGAGCCAATGCATGCAAAGTTTAACGCGATTATATGCGCATTTGACAGCAGCGCCCTCTCCTGCATAGACATTAAGCGGTTACACTCAAGGTTTCATCCTTGACATCCCCAGCTCTTGAGTTACTACCACATCTCAGGGCCCCCTACTCGTCCCGCAGTCGTGCACTGTCAGCCAATAGCAAGTAAAGGATCCTAGCGCCTCCCAGCGGTAGAATCTTGGAGTGATATCTCGAATGCGCGCGGCTCGTTGCCCATACAGCCCGGACTACGATTTAACCCAGCGAGCGCGCGCTAGAGCTGACGGCCAAACCAATACCACTCGCGTGGAAAAAAAAAAGGAAAAATATACAGACAAACATAGTGCGCTGTTTTTTTAGACGATAATATTATTAATAATAATAATAATAATAATAATAATTAACTAGTGTTTATTATAGTGTCCAGGAATAACCAATCGGTCTTAGTGCTGGCACACTTAAAAAAACAAAAACAAAAAACACACATACATACAAACACATTCACGCGATTGCAGAAGGCGAAGGTAGTTCAAAAGTGGGAGACTAAAAGTATTAACAAGTGCGAAAGACTCTCAAATCAACAAGGGAAATCAAAAGCACAAAACGGAGAAATCACCAGGTGTGAGAGCGAAAAGAAAATACTTGGATATTGTACTGACAAACATCAATAATAATAGTCGTGTCCCGTTAATATGGACCACATTAATATGAATACCCCGCTATGGTGGACACCACTTTCGGGGACAAACTGGGAAAATACATGCATTCTTTTCTCGTTATTATGGACAACTCATATAATGGACGACTTATTTTTCGAATAAAGGAGGTGTCCATATCAACGAGACATCAGTGTAATAACGTTGATTTTCCGTTAAAACAGTGAATGACGGAGGGAGATTGGAAAGGGTCTTTTCCGTCATTGACCGCGTATCGTCATGATTAATGGATTTCTAGGATGCGTAGAGCCCGGAGAGTGATTCATCGCGAAATTTAGGCGACCTCAGAAAAAGCTCCTCAGTGCACCTTTAAGTTCTAATTGGGAACGTACTAAGCAATACCGGAAGCCACTAATCATCGGAAACCATCAATAAAAAAAAATGGAACGTTTATGCCCAAAGTGCATACAACTTCAACGCACCCGAATGGTTTTTTTCCATTTCAGTCACGCATTGCATAGCACAAGTGGTAACTTTGGCTCCCCATCACGCTTTCCGCGTGCTCCGAGACTTAAAAAAAATGACCAGTTTTATGGTAACCTATTACGCTCAGTAAGTTTGTAATTTGTACTATATGTTTATTTTTACAACGCAAAAGCTCCAATTAAGGACCGAATTATTTCAAATGCTACGCACGCCATTAAATCGGCTCCTTCGAATTGAGTTATAAAATGCACAAACTTTTTTTCCGTGTCTTCTCTAGTTCTTGCAAAAAATGTTCGGCAGATATTCAGTGAAACACTCGGTATATTGTTGAGAATCGCGTAAAGATGGAATGTTTAATAATATAAAGTGTAATTAATCTTTTATTTCTTCCGCTGGTTGTCAGGTCCCGCGTACAAGCACCCCCGTGATTTTGCGGGAACGCCTAATGTATTGTCTTTTTCATGGAGCGAATAAAAAGTATTATTATAAAACCAGATATAGGGCCAGCTTTTATTCTGAAAATATTTCCTTCGCAGCGAATGATGCTGGCAAAATATGTGTCCGAAAGCACGACTACAATTCCGAGGGGGGATCGGTGGCCGAGTGAACTAGCGCACACCAGCTCGGAACACGTGGAGCTCGAGCTCGAGCTGCAGGACCCAGGATCCTGGGCTCAATCCCCACCCCTGCCCGTTTCGATCTGGATGAGCATCATACCGGCGTGCGGCCATGTATCACTACTGCGTGGTGCACGTCGAAGACCCCAGGCTAGTGGTTATACTGCACTGGATAAATTTCTCATCTACAGCTGGAAGACTCGTCGCCCGTTGAGGCAGACCGAGTTCTAGGCTGTATAAACATACACACAACCCAATTTTTACAATTACCAGGGTTTGAGTCCAACGCAGTCACGTTTAATTCTCTGCCGAAAACTACTAAACTCTGAAGATCATGCTGCTTTTTCTTGACGAACTGACTTGTCCCAATTTCAGAGATGGCACATAGAGTCAAAACGCTGTACAGGGAAAGAAACTGAGGGAGAGAAGATGATGGCGCGCGGAGAAGTCAAAGGACCGAGCTCTGATCGGAAAAATAGGGGTTATGCTGACTGTCCGGACGCGTTCGGACGCCGAACACCAGCGTCCAGCGTTCGAATCCGAGATACTGTGCGACGCGTAGAGCAGACGATGCTCCTGTTCGATCTGATTGGAAGGCGACAGTGGGTAAAGACAAAGGCAGCTTGCCTTTGCGTCCGCACACTAGCTCTTCTAGTCAACCGTTTCGACGTGTTCTTATCTCCTACTTTCTCTGTTTGTCTCCATGTAAGACTTGATCTTAATGCGGAGAACACTATGTCTGAATTGGTTTAAAATCTCGAGCTCAGAGAGGTCATATAATCATTGAACGGAAAAGGTCCCATGCATTCCGGCCGTATCGGAACGGCGGGGCTAAGACGTAAACATCGGTGATCCCAGTGATGGTCCCGATGAGCCCACATCGCTGGCAACGCCGTAATATGCAAAAGGAAGCAGCAAAACATTACATGTGAAGTATGCGCCTAATTAATTTCAAGTTTACCTCGCAGGAAGACACCGCATCGAGCATTGTGTGAAAATAAATGTAGTTGAGAAGCACGCGAACAACAACTCACTGCGGGAAAATGACCTGTCGTCTGCTTTCTTTCTCCTTTTTTTTTTTTGGTCTCTCTCTCTCTCTCTCTCATTCTTTCTCTTGGGACTATCGATGTCAGCGCTCGGGATTTCCCGCACCCTGTTCTCGTCTTTAACTTCCCCCTCCCCCCCCCCCCCCCCTTTTTTTTTTTCCCGGGTTCGCACTTTCATGCTTACTTGGTGATCTTCTTGACTCCGTGCCTGACCTCGGGGATGGTCGGCCTGTCGTTGGGAGACTCTGACCAGCAGGTGCGCATCAGACGCAGCATCTCGGCGGGGCACTCGTCCGGCGACACCTCCGGCCGGAACGGGGGCGCCGTGCCCATCTTCACGCGGTCCAGGATCTCTGGGAATCGCAAAGCCCAAAGCGGGTTTCTATACACCAGCACGCTGTGTATGAACGAGCTCACGTTCGCCCAGTCAGGGTGCGGGCCCTGCGAACATGCGCACAAACCAGATTCGCGTGAAGCGTCTACGCATGCGCAGTACCGGAAGCAACGCAACCGCAGCGGCGTGACGTCAGAGAGTGGAATAAATACAAGTTTCCGGTGCTCATCACCCAGTCGAAGAATACCGGGTCGCTGAGACATGGCCTGCGCGTGATGTCATCGTTAGTGGACCCCCGTCCCGCCCCAGGCGGCAGGGAATCCGCTAACAATGACGTAACGAGCAGGCCTTGCCTTGCAGGCTGTATTGGTTGCGGACGATCGCGCGGCGTCTGCTATTGGCGACGTGCGCGACCGAAAGCGTCGCTGTGGTCGGCCTTTCACGATTGGCCCAAAGGCTGACTATGACGTCGGAAAGGGTATACCATCGACGGAAATTAGAAGAATGAAGGAACTTTAATTTCGACGGCGTTGGCAGTGTTCCTTCGAGAGCGCAATGATTTCAGGCTTTCACCATGCTATTTACAAACACCATCGAACTTGTTGTTCGCAAGGTAATGACGTCACAAGGGGGAACCATAGGAGGGCGCCACCAAAACATCTCGCCGCTAATTCAGCAGACGAAAGCTACCGTGCATGCTCAGTACGTGTTCCACTGCCCAGGAAACAAAGATGGCAGCGCGCGCAGGAGACGCGTTTAGTGGAAAGGCTTTTAGTCACCGATTACATTGGAAACGCAGAACGTGGTGTCCGTACCATATGTTGTTCACGCATCTTGCTCCGCGATTTGTTTTTGGGTGTTATTACGGGAATCTAATTGGTTACGGAGCGATGACTAGATGCTATATGCCGAGAAACTGGGCGAGAGGAGGTGACGTGAGCACGCGAGGACGTCAGAACGCCGAGCTCCGACTGGAGGGATTAGTTCGGTAGGCGTAAAGCTTGCTGACTTTGTCCCTACTCACCCTCTAAACGCGTCCGAACGCGAACGCTGGACGCCGGCGTTTGGCGATCGAACGTGTTCAAAGTGTGACCAGAGACAAAGGCAGCTATAGTTTTGCGTGTACCCACTAATCCTTACGTCCACGCTCTCGTCTCCTCGTCTCCCTCAGTTTCTCGCCGAATTTCGCCTTGCCTCGCGTTTCTTACGCTTCTCTCACTATAAGGGAAACTCGCGCTGCACGCCATATTTAAGGTCGCTTGTTCGCCGCATATGCTCAAAACTAGCTCTCGTAACGATTCCGATTGGGTGAACTGCACGTCGACCGCGCACAAATCTGCATTGCACCCAGTCCAGTTTGTTTTTTGCCGGTCGATAAATGGGAGCTACAGTCGCTGAAATGCCTCTTGCTTTAAGGTTCGTTCCTTAGCATTCTTATCGGCCAATGCCGTAGTCTTATTGGCTGGGGAACAATAACGAGGTGCTCGGGACATCGCCGCACCCTGCGTGCCTTAAGCTGTCAGAGACTACTCGGCGCGCAAGTTCGTCGTCTTCCTGAGCAGGAGTGGTGGGGACGTAAGAACGCCGAGCTGTGATTGACTCCGATCGGAAAGAGAGTGAATAGCTTTAAGAAAGCCAATAAGACTAAATCAAAAACAGAAAGAATAAAAATAGCGACGGACAGAACAACACCTATGTTTATTATTTCTGTTTTTATTTAATTTAACCAGCGCGCTCACGTCGAACTAAGCCAATAAGAGCTCGGAGTTCTGACGTCAGTGAAACCACTTGCGCTCCGCATTATTCTGGACACGCGCTTGGAACAACGACAAATATGGCGTCAAGGTAATGCCTTATACAAAACCCTTAGGAACAAACGGCGCCCCCCCAGAAACTGCCGCAGTACGTGAAGAAAATACGATGCTCCGACTAAGTTCACAACACCGGCAGCGCGGTTTAGTACACAAAGCGCATTCAATAGAAGAAACGTGCTGGACGCTATTGTCACTGAAAGCTTAATGAAACAGGGCGTGGCGATGTCCCGACTCCCGGGCATCGTATTATCGCTCCGCAGTTAAAGATATTTCTGCCTCAGACAATGAGAACGCAAAAATTTATCACAAAGCAAGAGGTGAAATAATAAAAAAATCCCCGAGTTTATTTAGTTGTCAAACTGAAACGTTGAACAAAATCGTCTAAAAATACTGCAAATAGTTTTGTTGTTGCCTTTTCTCGTACCCAAACTACCGTTTATGCTTGGTTTCTATCAGCTAGCTCAAAGATATTAGTCTTGTGATAGGCTATCAATAGGAGCTGTGTGCTCCTAACGACAAGAAAGCACAAAAAAAAAAACAAAAAAAAAAACGACGGGAAGTTTTAATAGAGTTAGCAGGAGTTAGTAATAGGAGTTTGTAAGGCAACCTTAAAAGCTTTATTTGAATTGCTGAAGGAGCCAGCCGTTTGTCTATTGTGCCAACTGCAATCCTTTCTTTTTGGTTTTTTTCTTCTTTTTGAAATGGTATTTATGCAATACACAATGATTCCTGGGATTGAAAAAAATATAAGGACGCCAGCCAAGCGGAGGAAAAGGGTATAATAACGCAGGCAAGGCTTCTTGCAAAAATTATGTTTTAACTTTATGGCCATCATGTTGCATTGGAAATGCGTGGAAAGCAACAACGTGAGGTTTAATAACGTTCGTAAATAATTTAAGCGAGAGCAAGTTATTATACGGGTACTTCTAATGTTCAAAAAAGCACAGCAAGAAATTTACAATGAGCGAAGACATTTCGTGGTACTTCAATCAAAACAATTAGATTTTTTAAATTTTTTGCTTGGTGAGTAACGGGTAGACTAACATTGCCTTGGAGAATAACGAAAAAACAAAATATCTGCCTGCATGCAACCTAGAGTGGTATTAATTTGCGTGTGCATAAGGGAGTCGAAGCTCAGTGAAACAAAAGAAAACTATCGTGAGAACGTGGATATTTGTAGTGGCGACGCGAAACTCCAATAAAATAGTCAATAGACACGCAATTTAATACCGAAGCGAACAAAGAAGCCAGCTAAGGCGAGACGTTTCCTAGGAGGAATGCACTCGTTTGTCATGGTAATCCTGAGCAGAGAAACTTAATCAAATTTAGGAAATCGTTGCGTAACAAAGTTGCAAAACTGTACAGAAAAAGAAGAGAAAAAAGAAAGAGAGAGAGAGGGGAAATATTAGAACTAGCCTTGGTGTCGACGCAAATCCTGAGCTTCCCATTGTCCGACGGGACAATCCCAGCGCCAGGCCTTTTGAAGTGCTTCGCTGATGAACTTCGAAACAAGATTCATAAAAAGGACGGGTATTAACACGTGTTCCACGTGTTAACATCCGTTTCTTTTATGCCTCTATAATAAAGCAAAAACAAATTTATTATTTTTTTTTTTTACAAACTCAATTGGGTCCCTTTTGGGCCTGAAGTATTGGTAAATAAATAAATAAAATATTTTTTCTTCAATATTTAGCTCTCTTTAGAACCCAGACCCGGTCTACTTTGACGCGCGCGTCGGGTATTGCTTTAGTTATCTAGAAAATTGAACTGCGTATATTTGCGACGGGTAAATTAACTTTTCAGCACAAGGCGAAAAAGCCAGAAATATACAATCTATGTCGGTGACATATTCCTTAGACACTATGTTGCTATGTATCATCGCAGTCTGAGGAACCTTGATAGCGCACCTAAACTTCTAGTATATAATGGATTGTGTAACATATGCAAAGGTAAATCGCCGGCTTTTTTTATGTATTCATTATATCTTCATTTCTTTCTTTATTTGCACAGATGCGTCCACTGGCCGGAAAATTATTTAAAAAAAAATAAAAAAAAAACTATGTAAAGATTTTTTTTTTTTTTTTTGCTTTTAGGGATATATTTTTTGTGCCGTTAGAAAAGTAGACAAGTGCGATAAGAACGCACAAATGTAAACAGGGATTAGCATTTCCACTGACCATGTGTCACGAGAAATCTCCAAGCTGAGCAGGGTTCCAAATATACTAAAAAAAATAATAAGAAAAAAGATACACGCAAGAACTGAAATGAGACCAGAAGGGGCAGATAAAGCGACCACCGCAAAAGCAAACAAACATATTAAAAACAAAAATAACGGCGTTATAAAACGTGCGGGCCGAATAGAAAGAAAGAAAAAGGAGTCCGACAAGGCAAAAAGAAAGATCATGTAATAATTCACAAAAAGGACAATAAAGCTACAGAGATAAGAGTTCCGATTGGTGTCTAGTCGCGGAAGTTCAAGAAACAAGCAATGCGGCGACCTGATTGTTCCCTGGCAAAGAAAGCGAAGCAGCCATGCTGCGAGTAGGGTGAAGAGGAAGTGGAACTTTCGGGGACCTTCGGGTTCCATGAAGCTCCGTGTGCGGCCGATGCGTTCGAGGGACTCGTATGGCCCCGAGCGGGTGATCACTTCCTGCAGGATGATGGCGAACGAGTAGATGTCTCCTTTCTGCGAGCCGTGTAGGCGGGGCTCCTTCATGCGCAGGAACTCCGGTGCCGTCCAGAACAGGGTTCCTGCGGATGCAAAGTTAAGGCTGTATTCAATGCTTAAAGGCTGGCCCACACACTTGCGACTGCTGAGCAACGGAGAAGCTAAAAAAAACACGATATTAAGCATCTTGTGACTGCTTACTACCGGCTACGTTGCTGCGTAAGCAGTAAGCAGTCACAAGAGGCTTAAAGCGCTGTTTTTATTCAAGTGTTTGGTCTGTCTAATTTAATTAACTCGCTCTTTGTTTTTTTTGTTTTTTTCTGGCTATTTGTTTAGGTGGATTACCAATTAACTTTGTCGTGTACTATCCTGCAGCTTGAAAACCGCTTGTCGCGTTCTCGCGCTTCCTCCTTTCTGCGAACAAGCAGACAGAAGCAAACGCTCTCTCAATTCCTCCTTTCCATTTCGAGAAAGGAGGAGACCCTTCTCCTTTCTTAGAAGAGTATACACCAACTTATGTTTACAAACAAACCGGAGCGCCCGGAGCGCCCCTAGCGGACGCCACCGGTGCCGCGCATGCGCGATGGGGGTATGGGCAGAAAGCTCGCCGTCGCCCATAAACAAACCATTGAAATGCGATGTTGTCGGCTCCGGTGTGAGTCTCCGCGCTCTTTTTCGCGTGGGAAGTGTTGATTCTACGTCCTCCTAACGATGTCTGACTACTTGAGCAGCGTCAGCGAAATTAACGAGGCTCGTTACACCGCAAAACTTCGCGTGAATAATCTGACATGCGGCGATTCATTCCGCGTGGACGCCGCAGAACGTACGCTAAAGCCTGATTCACGTGATGAGATTTCGCTCGCAATTTTCAGTAGCGACGTCGCTCGGACTGCAACAGCGTGAACCGTAGCTGAGATGGTCGACGTCGCTACTGAAAATCGCAAGCAGAATCTAACTAAGTGAATCAGGTATAACAAGTCCGTGATGGCCACTGGTAAAAATGATCAACATCTCCTTGTATCTACTGTCTACATCCCCCCTGCTTACCAACCTTCAAACTTAAGTCTTTTAAGGCCTGCACTTAATTCTTATCGCAAGTACCGGGCCCACGTTTGGTCTACGGGCCGGTGTCCTCTAAAAGAGCAGACGACAAGCAGAAACGTTAGAAAGAGCAGACGACAGTTCGAACGATCAGGCGACCGTTTGAACTTGAAGACGCACTAAACGTAGTCCGCAGGTGGTCCGTACAACTTGACGGCTTTACGGCGTTTATTTTGGAATCAAACAAATAAATTTGATGGCCAGTAGTATCCGTGAATTTAACCCAAAATGCTTCCCGCCCAAGCAATCGTGGTCCGACGGCGTCTGGTTTTCCCTTTTCACGGCACATATCCGCGTTCTCGGACGAACCGAGCGCATGAAAACTGACCTTCAAACCTTTCTCGACTCTCTTGGTACAGCCCCAGTCGCAGCATTTTGACGACAAGGCAGGTTTTTGTCTGGTTCCTTTCAAAACAACGCAGGAATACACGTCTCAAATGGGCACTTCCGCCCACAGCCCCAGACCGGAAGTGCGTCCGACGCGCCACCACCGCGCCGTGACGTAACAGAGATGAGTTCGTGTATAGCCTACTCCGTCGTAGGCTGCAGAAAAATCTTGGATTGAGGGTTTTAGGTCATGTTGATTTTGATAGCACCCTTTTTCTCTCTAGTTACCTGCCAACCACGGCAGCGCAAGCCGAAGCTCCGACACTTACGATGTCCCAGTTAAGGCTTATCCACACATTTGCGGTTGACGTTGGTCGACTGTGCGACAACCGCTGGCGCCATATATCGGGTAGCACTGGAATTGTTCCAACCCACGTAAATTTTACGCGTGATACTATCAGTGTAAGCTTAAAATTATTCTGACGACGTTATAAAGGACCATTTAATTTTTATAGATAGTGCGTAGATCTTATCCCGTAAATACCGCCAAACCTTCAGTCTTTGTAATGTTTCCTGCGGGTGCAATGTTACGCTGCCTTTAGGTGGAAGAGACCGGGCCGCCTCATGCAAAGAGCCACGATGTTTTGCTCCTAATCTACTCTTTCTAGCTCTCTGGCAATCATTCAAGCGAAAGTTGAAACACAGTCGTTGACGTTGCTCCAGTAAAGGCTGGTTCAGGCAGTTGCGTTTGGCTCTAAACGATTGCGCGACGACCGTTTGTGACGGCTTGCGACGAGTATAAGAGCGTAGAATGCATGGAGGTCCAACTGAAACCATGGGGGTGGGGTTCCAATTTAATGCGGACGTCTCCTACGGAGGTTGGTCGCAAGTGCGCAAGCGCGCAACGTTGCCCGGTTGCGAAGGAGGGAAGCGGGCGGAAAGGCTGAGACGCTCGCAAACGACCAACGCGTTCGTCACCTCCTCGCAGCTCGTATTGCATACGCACGGCCACTCGATAAGGACTCCCCTTTGGAGCGGCCTGCCGTATGCCTCACTCCGCCGGTGAGAGCGATAGTTCTACTTTACCCCGCTGCGCCAGCCGTGGCGCTCGTTATCGGTGAAAGATACCTTTCGGGGGAGCATATAGAGGAACTCTATTAGCGGCGAGATGTTTTGGTGGCGCCCTCCTATGGTTCCCCTTTGTGACGTCATTACCTTGCGAACAACAAGTTCGATGGTGTTTGTAAATAGCATGGTGGAAGCCTGAAATCATTGCGCTCTCAAAGCAACACTGCCAACACCGTCGAAATTAAAGTTCTTTCATTCCTCTTATTTCCGTCGATGGTATACCCTTTCCGACGTCATAGTCAGCGTTCGGGCCAATCGTGGAAGGCCGACCACAGCGACGCTCTCGGTCGCGCACGTCGCCAATACTTCGTTTCGCGTTAATATGTACTTGTTAGCCGGGCGTGCTAAAAGCGCGAGATAGTTGCTTCGAAGGAAGCCTCAGCGGCTGCATGAGCTCTCGTGCAGCGAGTGCTCCAGTCAAGGCAGTAAAGGCTAGCCGCTCGCGCTAGCACAGCGTTCGCGGTTAGTCCATGCTAAGGTAAGACGAAATATAGGGAGAGAGGAGCAGTACGCCCGGCCCGGCCCTGTGTGGCTATTTAGATTTTTTTTTTCGTGAAGCCGCAAGTCTCAATTGAAACGAGTGCCAGATTGCGTGAATGATGTGACAAATCTGTGTAGAATAAAAGCACATGATTCTTTCTGCGAAAAGCTCACTCAGCTGCAGGCTGCGCGTTAAAGCTCCATTCTGCTGGCAGTATGAGCGAATTGTCCTTTTCTTGTTCCCGTAACTGTTGCCCCGTTTCTATTACCACTGTCATATAGGAGTTATAGTTGGATATAGCTAGGCCGTATAATTTCCGGTTTGAACCAACGCTCGAGCACGCGCGAGCTGTGCTCTTTATTCATCTGTGAAGGGCAATATAAAATTGGATTCCGCGTGCATAACTTCAGCAATATAAACTTCATTGTTCACAAAAAACAGACCAAGGGAGTCATATAGTTCACAAGCGGAGTACCTTTCGTGAAGGCTTCCGCGGAAGCCTCAATATATTCTCTAGCGGGCTGTTTAGGTCACCAGCCCAGTTTGCCAAAAAAGGTCTGAGGAGTTTTCTGAAAAAGAGCTCGCAGAGCTCTTCGCTGTGGTGGGGGTCTCGGCAGTTAACACACCACATCAGCGGGCAGTCCATAAGGTGTGAAAGCACAGCGCTCGCGAGGACCTTGCACATCCGTCCACGACGACAAATCTCTGCCGACTGTAGAGCCGCCTCGACAAAGGTGCAGACGAGCTTACACAGCCAGACAGTTTCAGGTCGTGGATATCTGAGTCCTCCTTGGTCAAGACTAAACATGGACTGATATGCTCCGTCATGTGATGCATTTCCCTTAAGTTGCGCTTGCATTCAGGACACGTCACCTGCAAAGTTTAGCGGGTTCTACACATTAGCCTTCCTTGCTTTTACTGAGAAATTCTTATTGCTTTGCTAGGTTGAATGTTTCAGCTAATTACTTTGAAATTACGACAATTTCTAGAAATAAAAATGGTCACCTTTTGTTCGCAAACGAAGGCCAAGTAGCCAGCCATGTAAGTCAGCGGTGTAAACTCAAGTTCGAAAGAGACTTCCTTATACTTGATCAACTGCAGGATTTCCTATTTCACGAGTGGAGTTGGCACATTTCATCGCCGTCTGGCACTCAGAGCTAGAACGTGCATTTACATTTCCGCCAGCTTCCAAAATGCCAACACAAACCACACACGCGTGCGCAGAGAGACACTACGATGTTTTCGCAAAGCACAGCGGTGCATAGGTGGGGGAAAGCGAGTCTTGTTGCCTTCTGCAACCGCGGCAGCGCCTCGGTATCGGCGAAGCCAATAGAGAGTTTTAGTAGATCGTTCCCATGACTCCGATAACGATATCCCGATACTCCGCCACCGCCTTCATTGCGCAGGCATATATATCGTTATTGGGGCTATCGGAGGTATCGGAACGATCTACTAAAACTCTCTATTGATAGGCAGATATTTTATCTGGGTAGCGGAGCAAGAGCGCGTTGGGCGCCTTCTCTATATTCCGTTTCACCTTATGTTGTACCGCAGCGAAGGCTGGAAGCGCGAGCTCATAGTGTTGACAGCTGCCCTTACTGCACGAGAGCTTGTGCCGCCGAGATCTGCCCCAGAGCAAGGAGCTCGCGCTTACAGCCTTTCCTGCGGTATATTGGGTGAAACAGAGTATAGGTTTCAGCTTACAAGACCGCTCACTAAAGCCCCTTAATAAAAGCGTTTTTTACAAGTACCGCCAACCATTGTTGTGGAAGCGCGCGAGACACGTGCCATGAGCGGGTGCTCCGCCGCCATTCGCTTCCAAGGCCCGCTCATTTCAGTGCTGCGCCGCCATTTGCTTCCAAGGGCCGCTCGAGACATGGGCCTCGAGCACTCGCGAATTTGACGCTACTTGCAAGACAAACGCAAACACATCGAGGGGCTTTACCGCTCACCGATGTGCAGCGCCCCCACGAAAAATGGGAGAAGTTCTCCTCTCACGCGCGCTCTTTTGTTTTCGGAAAGACATCGGCAGGCCGCACCAACAGG